TTGTAAGTTATAACTTTAAATGACATAATCCATCATGAAAATTTGGGATCGATACCAAAAGTTTATGATCAGTGATCGATCATAATTTTGCTTTGAACAATTATAATTTATTATTTCAAAGTTATAACTTGACCATAATAAAATAATAATTCAAAATGGTGATGGGTCGAACCCAGAATTACAAACCAAGCCCAGACCGCAAATGTATACTAAGCACAGACCATAGATACATATTAACAAGGCCCAGTGACAATTTTAGTTGGGTCAAGCCCACCTTCCTAAGAGTCCCAACCCATCATCAGCTCTATTCAAGGAGAAGAAATATGTAGGAACATAGTCATCGAGGGCACATCGTCAATTTCGCGAAATTATTTCGTCCGTAACAAAATAAGGCAAATTTCAATGAATCACCCTGTTATTATCTCACCCGTTACGAGGATAAGGTGAGTTTCACGGAATCACCATGCTCCCTATTACAAGGATGACACCTGGAGCTCGTCGGAGCCAATTTCACTTGTCTATAAATTATAAGTCCCGTCTATAAATGGGAGCATCATTCACATATAAGCACACTATATTTCTTGAATAATAAAATTTTTCGGCCACCATAACCATTTACAATGAAATATGTCTTCAAGACCAAAGTACATAATCTTTGTATTTACTTGTGTTGAACTTTTTTCATTTCTTATTTGATTGATGTTGCATAAATATTTCTATACATCATCAGATTATATGGTAAAAAAAATTTGATAGAATGGACTTTTCTGAGTAACCTAGTCGTCGATCATTCAATAAGCTGTGGGAAAATAAGTCCTGCGAATAACGTTTTAATCAAGGTGGTGGGGGAGTACTATGTTTATGTCTGCTAGTGGGGACTTGAACTTCAATTCTTAGGATCTCTATCTATCAAGGAAAAGGAATATGTGGGGACGTAACTATTAGGGGTACATTGTCAGTCTTACATGATCATCTCGTTCGTTATGAGATAAGATAAGTTTTAATGAATCACTCTACTATCATATCACTAGTTACGAGGATGAGATGAGCTTCATAGAATCACTCCAACTCCCTATTACGAGGATGGCGCCTAAAGTCATTCGGAGCCAATTTCACTAATTTATAAGTTGTAAACTCTGCCTACACATAGGGACATCACTCACATCTGAACATACCACATCTCTTACATAATAAGATTAGTCATTCCCAATGGAGTATATCAATTAGACCAAACTTCATAATCTTTATGTTTGTTTGTATTGAACCCCCATTATTTCATCTTTGATTGATATTGTATAAATATTATGTGCATCAACAAATTGTATGGTACCAAAAAAATATTCAATAGAATAGACTTTTCCGAGTAACCTAGTTGTCCATCATTCAATAAGCCGTGTGAAAATAAGAGGCACGTACAACCTTATAATCAAGGTGGTGGGGGGAGTATTATGTCTATGTCTGCTAGTGGGGACTTGAACTTTCAATTTAATATTATGTCTGTCTTCCTATCATTGGTAGATATGGGGAGAGGTCAGCAATGTCTCAAGATAAAATATAACTAAAAATAATTTATTAGTTGACATAAAATAAATAAATTTAAGAATAACAAAAAGTTAAGACTCGAGAGAAAATAACCGTGAAATAATAAAATCAATTTTCATTTAATAGAAACAAAATTTGAATAAAAAGGTATAAAATAAATTTTTTAGTATATTTTAATCCAATTATATATTTTAATAAAATACAACATTTTTTAAAAATTATGTATATTAATTAATGTTATTTTTTTACTAATTTTTTGTCAATAGACACAATTACAAATCTGCAGTAAAAATATTCTTCATTCAGTTGTAAAACTTAGTTTAGATAATTAAATCATTATCAATTACATATTATGTATATATATATTATATATATAAATATAATGGTAAAATATATATTTATATTTTTTTCATCTTATCAAACACAAAAAAAATTAATTATTCCTACTTTTTTATCGTTGTTACCAGACACAAATGAGGTAAAAAAGAATTCTTTTGTTGACAGATAAAAAATGTATTAGTCTTACTTTCTATTTTTTTATTTTGTCATTCACCCTACCAAACAGATCATAAGTGTTAAGCATTTTGCTAAATTAAAGAGAACCTGTCATGACTATTATCCATTTTGATAATAAAAATATTTATTTATATCCTTTTTGATAATAAAAATATTTATTTATATCGTTGTGAATCGGACAATACCATGTTATTCCTTCTAATTCTATTGGTCCTATTTACTTTGTTCCTCGGATTCCTATAAATTTCTTTCAATAAAAAAGGAATAGATTTAGATGACTCATAAATTGTCAACAATGGCGGAGGCACACATGGGCTGGGGGTCGGGCCCGTCTTGATTTTTATTTTATTTTATTTTTTGTACTTATGTATATTCTATGTATTTTTGTAATATTTTCAATTATACCCACTTTGATGATTTTAAATAAATAAAATTGGGTCCATTAGAAGAACAAATATTTTGGTTAATGGATTGAAATAGAAATAGAATTAAATATAGAATCTCTTGGAGTCCACTCCATTCTCAAGTTCTCCCCAAAAACAAAGCATAAGTAATTAGTAAAATATCGCACAGCGCAAACTTTGGTACTGATATTGTCAGCTATGACTCTGTCATTGATATTTTAATCACATCTCTTATATAATTAACCTCATTTTTTGTAAAAAGTTATAATTAACATATTTTTACTTATTTTTTTATTTGCATAGATATTGTATACTTATTTTTTGCCCATCTATTTTAATCAATCTTCAAATATCAAATATAATATAAAAAATAAAAATATATCACATTATTTTTATCTATTAAAGGACAAAATAAAATTTATAATTAGAATATACCCCACCTTATATAATATTTCTAGATCCGCTACTGTTTGTCAAATATGCTAGTTTGTCCATACGTATTTTTCTCTATCGATCTTACAACAATTTTTTCATTCACATTCAAATAGTCTCGGATTAAGTTGAATTTCAAAATTGGAAACTATATCCATCAAAATTGCAGACAAAAAATAGTAGTCAGAATTCAACTATATTTTAAATTTTTTTTGGTGGGTTGTGAATTTTATTTTGCACCCTTAAGACTCTTATTTTGTAATTTCAAAGATTAAATTTTTATATTATACCCTTAATGGATGAAAAGTATTACAATATGACCCTTTTGTTAGTTTTTTTTAGTCTTAATGAGTTGATTTTTGACGAAAAAAATAACAGAAGTTAACATAAAGACAATATTACAATATTTTTTATACATTTAAAATATAATATGAAAATTTTAATTTTTAGAATACAAAATAATTTTTTTGTTTAAGTTGCAAGTGCAAAAAGTCGTTCTTTGGGCAAATGAAGAGATTGGACCTGTGATAGTCATATATCAACCACCACATTTTAGATCGGGGAGAATTGCGGACAAACCCCCTGAAATTTGTTATTTAAACATTTAGATTCATGGATATTTAAAATATTATATACAAATCCCTTAAGTTTGTACATATTTAACACTTAAACTTTGTCATCGATGTCTATTAAAATATTCGTTAGTAAAGTATATACAGGCCCCTTAAAGTTTATAAGTGTGTAATACTTAGATCTCTTAAATTTTAAATGTTATATTTAGATAAAAAATATTCTAATCAAAGATAAAATATCCAAATATTTTAAATTTTATAACCAAAATTTATGTTATATTATGTCATTTATTGATATAAAATCAAAAATAAAAACCCAATATTTTTTTAAAAAAATTATAATTAATATATAATTATACTATTTATTAAATGACTAAATTATCGAAATTAAAGATAGAAGATAATGTGTCTACTGCAGTTTAATCCCTTATTTATTTTTTTAGTCTTATTTTTATTTGATCATCCATGTGTTTTGAGTCATATGTTTTTTGAAGGGGTAATGTAAAAAAAAAGAGAAAATTAAAAAAATTTGTGTCTTTTAAAGTGCAAAATTGAATTTCCCTAGACTAAAACGTGAAAAGTCAGGAGTGATGAGCACATGCCATTTTTCATCTTCTTTTAAACGGGAGTTAGTGCCAACTAGGGGTGTAACTTGGGTTGGACAACCCGATTTTAATCCGAACTTAACTCAAAAAAATTAAGACTTGGACAAAGGTTTTTAATACTTGAGTTGGGCTTGAGTTAAAAAATCTCAACCCGAATTCAATTTGAGTTGGACTCGAGTTAAGGTCTCATGAACTTGAACCCGACAAATTAAAAAAAAATTATATATATATAAAGCATTAGTACTGATTTGTCATTTTTGTTCTATCATTCTCTGTCTCTCTCGTTCTCTTTGCATCTCTCGTTCTCTTTGCATCTCTCGTTCTCTTTGCATCTCTCGTTCTCTCAGCCTCTCTCGTTAAAAACTTGGTTGAAGTTATTGATTATTCATTTAGGTGAATATTATGTAATATGTGTATTAAGTTTAGAACAACAAGCCTATTTTGGGTTCTATCCGAATTGAACCCGTAAATTAATCCGAAATCATCAACCCGAATTTGACCCGAGCCCACCCGAATTAAACTCGAGTAGTGCTCGAGTTGAGTTTCCCAACCCAAGGTAGGGTTAGTGTTAGAGTTAGGGTTAAAAATTATATATTTAAGGTTGGACTAAGGTTGATTGTCCAACCTACCCAACCCGCCCGAGTTGCACCTCTAGTGCCAAGGAATACTTCAGCTTAATGTTGAAATTTGAAAGATTAAATTGATAAAATTAAAATTTTAAGGACCAAAATATGATAAATAATAAATTTCGGGATTATTGGTGTAATTTATCCTTAACCGTACTAAACTAAGTTGAACAGGACTTTACCTTCGTCCTCGACCTGGACCCGTGTCTCCTGAATGAGTTAGCCTTTCAATTTCAACTTATAACACTGTGACTGTCTTCTTTACACCATTATTATTGTACTTACTTACTCCGAAAAACGTGGAGCCATTCTCTCTCCAATTCTATCTAATTCACCAGCAAAAAGCAAAGAGACTACTACAACACACTTGTAGTCTCTGTGTGTAAGCATTGTTTTTGGTTTGCTCTGTGTAAATTCTTATACTAGATTTTTTAATCTGCAATTAAGCACTGTTTAATCTGAATTACTCCTTGATTTTATGTTGATTTTTCTGTTTTAGATTGAAGCGTTTGATGTGTGAAATGATCGGTTGACTGTTCGGAGGTTTTTTGCAATGTTGAGTGCCGTAACTGGACGACGACTCGAAGGCTGCGAGATTCATGGCTTCCGTACAATGGAAGGTACAGTTACATGACTATATATGCGTGCAATTCAGTGTTGGAATTGAGTGTGTTTGTGGTGGAGATTGTGTATGGGTGGACTGGAAGAGTACAGTCTCTCTAGAGTTGTTTGTTTAGGGTTTACTGTTGAATAGGTTTGGGTGCCGTGACATTTCTTTTACTTTCAAGTTAGCTTCTCTCAATTCAACTCAACTCCACAAAGTGTAGTTCTAATTATCCGGATTTCTTACATTAATCTTGTTTTGCTGAATGAATCCTGTTATGCCGAATTGTCTTTTGCCGTTATACTCTATGAGGACTATTTTTTTTTTAATTAATTCACAAGCTAATCTCTGCCTAACTCGATCGCTTGCAGTATCTTCGATATCTCTCACCGCATTCTCTTTTATTGTAGTACTAGTTGTTTTGTAAATATGTCCAATTCAAGCCACCTAAATCGATTCGCTATTTGACAGAATACACTGTCTCACTGCGGTGCCTTGTTACATAAAAAACTGTGGTTGGTTTTTTTTTTTTTTAAAGAATTTCTATAGTAACGGTTCCTTGTTGCATGGACAGATTTAGATATACACAGCATAATGGAGGAAGCTCAGGCAAGATGGCTCCGACCGAATGAGATTCATGCAATGCTATCTAACTACAAGTATTTCAACATCAACGTCAAGCCAGTGAACTTACCGAAAAGTAATATTAATTGCTTACTTGAAACATATCTAATCTTGATCTATTCCCAATTTTCCACAAATGTGTTAGATTTAGTGCTGAAATAAGAGGGCTGTTGATGTTTCGAAAAAAATTTCTCATTCATTGAAGAACTTTAATTTCTACTTGATCTTGGCAGATAATGGAAGATATTGTGTTTTATCTAATCCGGATGCTATCACAATGTAATAGGTGGTACGATTGTGTGGTTTGATCGGAAGGTGCTCAGGAATTTTCGAAAAGATGGCCATAACTGGAAGAAGAAAAAGGATGGTAAGACTGTCAAAGAAGCTCATGAACACTTGAAGGTGAGATTTTCCCTTTGAGAAATGGGTTTCTCTGACATCTATTATTGACTAACGGCAGCTAAAATCATCGGTTGATGTTCGTACTAAAGGCACTGATTGTATATTTTCCCTAGATTTATTTTTTTCCCTCAAATTGGCTGAAATTTTAAGTACCTCTGTTCTGAGTTGAACAAAATCCATCATCGACCACTAGCTAATACTCATGGCCTTTTGGATAGAGTGGGCAGGTTAAAAAACATTTGTATTGTTAACAAATTTTATGTAATGATTTTTACTTTTTAATAGCCAACTTGGATTCAGCCATGTGCCACAAAATGCTTTTTTATTTTCTGGCCAATTTATTTCTTTGTAGGTTTATTCTATCTTTGCTATTCTAGATGCGTGATCACATCTGTTAAGAAAACTTCTCTAAGGTACCTGTCACCTTGTTTAGGATGATCAATAATGGTGTATACAGTGGTGCACCTTTGTGCGAATTAATTTCTCTAATAAACAGCACTCTTCTCTGGATGAAATGGTGGAGTAAAAGAGCCTTATACTCACAATTGATCGAAGGGAATCTGCCCCCAAAAAAAGAAAATGGAAGGGAGAAGTCCCCTTGTGAATCTACAACAAAGATACTCTATCTGATTTGGATACTATATATCCCATATAAGAGTGTATGAACAAATGATTGTTCCATGCCCAACATACCCTCGCTCTGGGTGAAGTAATCATACAGGATCCTGCAAGCATTAAATTAGGGTATAACGAAATGAGCTTTTCAAGGTAAATTGGGGAAGAGATTAGGTGATGAGTTTATAACATCATGAAAATCTGTATGTTAGGTTCACTAGGGAGACTTTTGCATAACTTCCACTGTAATAGTCTGAAAAGTACTTGAGTCATCATGGTAATAATTGTGTGATGCTTTCCTCAACAACATGTCCAGAGCTAATTTCTACACTAATCCAAGGAAATAGAATTTAATAGGAAAGACACATGCAAGTAATAGGATGCCAAAAAAAAAAAACCCTCTCTCCAGATGTAACATTAGTAGATATAGAATACGTAAATAATTTCTGAAAGTAAGGGTGAGAACAGAGCAAAAAATGCAATTTGAAACCTATGAGTTGTTCTTTTCTTTTTTTGGTGTGCGGTTGCGTCCCCTGTCTACATAAGGCTCTTCCTTTATTAGACGAGGAGATCGGCAAATCCATATCTTGTACTAGTTTATGGTCCACTAGTGGAGAGTAGATAGGGGATCTCCGATATTTGGTGTCAATTTAGTAATATTGCCCCTGTGATGTCTACCTCAGGAAGTAGGATCAAGCCATTGAGTGCATTGTGCAATCAATCACATAGTGAGTAATGTAAGTTGGGTGCATTGTGGATGGCTGTTGCAGGGGAATGAGATCTATTCCTGTTAAAAATAAAAGTCTGAACTGTAAGTTTTGCTAATCTGGTATGCTTTGGTTTATGAAGCATTGGTATACCTTATAAATATTTAAAATTTACTTTTTAGTTCTTCTAATTAAAGACGAATGCTTTGTGAAGTTAATTTGAAAATTATCTTTCGTTGAGCGACCTTTGTTTTGATGAGGTTGGGAGGTAAATGCCTTTTTGTTTCTTGGTACAGGTCGGCAATGAAGAAAGGCTCCATGTCTACTATGCACATGGCGAAGATAAACCTACCTTTGTTCGTAGATGTTACTGGCTACTTGACAAGTATGCAATTCAAGTCCTCATGGATCATGGCCTGACAATGATCTTTACATGAAATTTGAATTGATTCGTTTCTATTTTTTTTTCTCAGAAAACTGGAACACATAGTCCTTGTTCATTATCGTGAAACTCAAGAGGTTTGGTTTCCTATAGCTCAGAAATCTCTATTTCAATATTAGTTATTTACATACATATTCATATCCCATACAAACTCGCAATGTGCATACACGTAAATTTACTCATTCTGGAATACTTAGGAATTTGTGATATTGAAGCATTATTAAAAGCACTTCCAAAAGAAGTATGGCCTGTATAAGAACTGTCCAATCTTTATCCAAGGTTTGGATTTCATCTAACTCTTGATATTGATTGTGAAACTGTACATAAATTAGAGTCAATTTTTCTCTTAGCTATCTCAATGGACTTAATTACGATTTTTTGTATAACCTATTAAAATCATAAGCAAACTGGGATGTTTAACAAGAGACTATTTTTTGATTGTCAAATGCACAACTAATCTGTTGTATTGGAAGTGCACCATGGCCTGTTTATCAAAAAGATGATTTTCTGGACATTTATCTTTTTGTTTTTGCAAGCTGTCACTTCTTCTGTTATGTTCAGAAGTACGTCAATATCTTATGTTCTTTAAAAGATCTGCTTATGTTGGTGGCTATGATTACCCTGATTCTGGTTGATGCTTGCTGGTTTCTTGAGCTGCTAATTTGCAATGTTGTTTTCTCATTGTTACTTTGCAACTCTCTTTGTTTAGACCCTCACTCAAATTCATGTTGAAATTTCAATGCTGTTCAAACTTATGTTAGAGCATGAAGACTGTAGCTCTATGAAATCTCAGAACTATCTCTTCGTGTAATGACTGCTTTTTTGTGCGTTTTTAAAGTTTTTCATGTGAATGATTAAGCATTTCTTATTTTTACGTTTATATTTGCAAGTATATGTCACCTTGAAATTAAGATCATCACAAGGAATTTTTATTGTACAGCTTCATACAATGCAGAATTTTGCTGCTATGTGATAATTTTTTGCTATTACTCAATTTGTGATGCCTCGATCCTAGGCATTGAAATGTATCATGTGATCGATTATCTTTGTAACATATACAAGAGTTGCAGTTCTACCAGTAAGAGCAAATGATGAGTGAGGCATTTAGGCATAATAAATTAAGGAGACAGAAATCTGCTGGAATGCTGTCCAGAGGCTACAGATTTTACATCCAATATTTGATGTCAAAGCACTGACTTATCTTTTCAAGGGCAAAAATTTATAAGTTCATAATCTTTGTAGCATTTTGAAAAACTGAAGTAGTTTTTAATAATTTGAGTTCTTCCATGAAGAACCACGTTATATTCATGAAAAAGGCATTTTTTTTTCCTTTTAAAAATGTCAAAATGGAACAGAATAAGTCCTGGTTCTGTAGCGTCACTTCAGCTCTTCTGCTTCCATCATAGCCATCACAAGTGCGGAAATAAAGTAATGTGCATTTTATGGTATAAGGGAAGTTTGGACATAGTAACAGCATCCTTGAAATGAACTTAAGCTTGTTCGAACTTTGCTTTGCGATTTGTGCTTTAGTCTTGAAATAACAACAGGCGGGTACTAATGGAACTATGTGCTGTGGTTGACTCATGTTACAGTTGCAGGGTTCTCCAGACACATCTGGTAATTCCAATTCTAGTTCAGCTCTCTCTGCTCCTTCTGCTTCTTGGATTTTATCAGAAGAGTTTGATTCTGTGCTTGATCGGGCATCACATACTAGTGAGGGAGCACAGTTAGGTGATGTTAATTGAACTTTATTCATTTACAATTAAATTACGTTATCAATGTGAGATTGCCCATTTTATTTAGACCGCATAATGGAGCAGACACTGAATTACTATTATATTAATTACTAGAGTTGGTGGGTATGAAATCTTTCTCAAAAAAATTAAAAATTGAAACTAAACAACGAATGAGACAAGACTACAAAACTGTGTTCAAGGGAAGTCAGAAATAGCTCCATTCTGCAACAACGAATGGCTGCTTTAACTTCATTGATCAACCTTTTTATAGTTCATTGTCATGATAAAGTAGTCTTACAGATATACATAAATTGCAGTAATTATGTAATTTTCTTGATAATGGAAGTATAATATTCTCTTCCTGGTTACTTAGCAGGGCCAAATGATCGTATGATCATCAAAAGTCACGAAATGAGACTCCACGAGATTAACACACTTGAATGGGATGAGCTTTTAGTGCCAGATGATCTAAATACGCTGGTTGCACCTGAAGAAGGTACTGAACTTGATGCCACACGGAACAGAACTGGAACTCTTCAAGCTAATATTGTCCATTCGAATGTGTACATTTATATATGCCTGCATTTTTTGGTGGCAGGAAGAATTTCATGTTTTGAGCAAAGGAATGGAGATGGCAGAAACCTCTACATGAGCAATGTGAGTAGAGCTATAAATAGCTTACTTAGCAAAAAGAATCTTTCATAGTTATAATTTTTATACCCCCAAAAGGAAAATTGGTTCTACTTTTTCTTCTTGCTTCTCATCTTTTCTCTTGATGTAGGTTTTTAGTGTCAGTCATATGTTTTTTCTCTCCCGGTGTTATGATAGGGGAATTTAAATTCTTTTGGATATGCCGATTAATTCTCTCAGATTTCTTTCATGTTCGTATTTAAGAAATTTGATTCCCGATAGTTTGGAACTCCTATGAATTTGAACTCTCGAGAATTTGAATCCTCGGTAACTAATGGCCTATTTGGATATATTCTCAAAACACTGGATTCAAAAACATGTTTTCGAGAAGAGTTTTAGAAAAGTGTGTTATGATTTTTTTTGTATCCCAAAAACATGTTTGGTATATGACTCTGAAAACAGTTTAAATATATAAAAAATAGTAAAATATGTTTCGATAGTAATCCAAAAAGTAATAAAAATATGAGATATAATTTCCAAAAAGTAATAAAAATATGAGATATAATTTGAAATGACTCTTTGATAAAAATCTTCTGAAATAGAGCATGAGTGTGAGAATAGGGGTGGAGTGTGTTATCAACGGTTTCTTTCTCAGATAATATTATACAACTTGTGGCTGAACAAGATTTACTTACAGTAGTCAACATTGCATTACCTGATGCTAGAAATTAACCCCAAGAAATTATACAAAATCAATTGGCGAGAAAACACAAATCACGTGGAAAGAGCATTCTTTAGGAGGTTATTAGAAGTTGGTTGGACCTCTTTTTGCTAGCTTGTGCCACTTGAAGGACCTGAGCTTGAGACAAGACCGGGGGTTTTGAAGGAATCAATTGGCCTTGCTTAGAAGCGGAGTGAAAGACACAGACGAGAGAGAATTTTTTTATCTTTTTAAATGATTTATTTAAGTGTACAGTAGATTGCATCCCGTGTTTTCAATCTTTTTGAAGCTGTCTCAAAACCGGTAAAAACATGTTATTAGTGCTCTCTGAAATTTTAACTTTTTGTCCTAGTTTTTGAAAAAGTGGATACAAAGTTCTGCTGTCCAAACAACTTCTCTTACTGTTTTTCATATCCAAAAATTGGAAAACCATTTTACAGATGTAAATCACACAGGCCCAGATTCTGGTTTTTCTTATGTGCTTTATAACTTTCATAAACACAATCTTCTTTTAATGTCGTGTTTTAATTAATTTCACCCATTTTGTTAGATTAATCGTCTTTTATCTCAATGTGTTAAGTCAAAAAAGTATTTATTATGCATTTAATTTTTTTATAGGCTAGGATTGATGCACATGGCAATTTATACACTTTGAGGTAGCAATTAGAACTCCTATTTTTCATAGGAATTTGGACGTATGTTGCAATTGTGATCCTATAAAAATAATTTCAAGCGTATAACTAGACTTTTGTCAATGCCCGATAATTTATAATTCTAAACTTGCATATCTATGTAAAGAACATGCCCAATGTATTATTGCAAAAGTTGAAAGATATCTTTTAAGCAGTGTTGGACCTTTAATTGAATGTACTGGAGCAGAGATTCCAGAGAATATGGACATTTGAGATTTGGGTAAAGTATCACTCTTTTTGGCAAGGGATTGGTCAAGACATTATAAACATTGAAAAGAACAAAAAGACATACAAAATTGTCTCTCCACTTGTTATATGCAAAAGTGAAATAAGGGAAGAATATAATCACAATTTCTCTTCTGTATACAGAACAGTAATTGAGAATTTTTTAATTTAATCTAAAATACAGTTCTCTCTTTTGAACAGGAATTGAAATTTCATAGACTTCTATCTCTCAACATATTTTTCTACTCAAATCAGAGTTGTGAAACAAAAAATAGACATTTTTTCTTCATATCTTTTATTACCAAAGGAATGTTAGTGCCCCTTCCTTCACTATAATGACGTATAACATGCAATCAGAGGCATCAACATGTAGTTACTTTCATAATAGCATTTATGTTCTATTAACAATAGATTTTCTTGCTATCATTGTGTGGCTCCGACATAAACAAGGCTGATTTTTCTACTTCTACGACTAATATCTGTGCTTTTCTGCTGTCTACATGCATATGCTTGGAGATTTTAGTCTAAGATGCTTTGTTTCTTCAGTTAGTGAACTAATTCCCTGTCTTTAAATTTGTATGCTGTTGTTTACTTTAGCATTCAAAAGGTTTCTATATTTGCATGTAAAATTCAACTTCAAAGCATAGTGATTTTTAGGTGGCTTGCCTGCAATATTGCTGCAATGATATCTGTTGTTAGCTCAAGATCATCTAGAAGTGTATGGGTTCTGTTTTGGCTTCATTGCCTAATCTATTTAGTTAACCAATTTGGTAACTGTACTAGACCAAGCCACCATAGCGTTTGCATTGCTGTTTTTTTTTTTTCTGAAACGTGACTACTTCCATTATTGATATTTGTTGCTTTAGGCACTCATTGACAATGTTTTGTCTTTGCAGAGTAACTCCTCATCAGCGAAAAAATTACAGGAAGAAGATTATTTGCAGAATTTTCCTGAGCAAGTTGCGGGAAGTAATACCATCCATTTCAATATTCAAGATAATGTTGGATTCAATTCCGCTGGAGGTCAAATGAATCCAAATTTTCAGGGGAAGGAATCTGAAGTGTTGACAGTCGGTGTGGCCGACTCTTTAGACAATTTGGTCAAGGATGGTCTGCAAACTCAGGACAGTTTTGGAAGGTGGATGAACTACATCATGACCGAGTCTCCAGGCTTGGTAGATGATCCAATCATGGAACCCTCACTTTCAACAGGTCACGAGACATCTACGCCTCCAATTATGGACCATCCCCAATCATCTGTTTTGGAGCAAATAATTAGTATAACCGATGTCTCACCTGCATGGGCCCTTTCAACTGAGGAAACGAAGGTATTGTAATTATGTGCTACTATTTGATGATGTTCTTATGTTGGCACTGTTAAATATCATCAAATTAGGAGAAGAGATAAAAGAGAGAAAATAGAGAATGATTGCATTACGGCTTAATGGAAAAATGCATACAAGAGGCCCTTATACAGTAGGGCAACATAAAAGAACAAAAGGACTAAACTACCCTTAAGACTAAATATTCTAACTACTCTAACACCCTCCCTCAAACTCATGATATGGTAGCAGAAAACATCAAGAGTTTGCCAAGAAGAAAATGAAAGCGATTAATAGTATGCGATTTTGTGAAAAAATCTGCTAACTGCATAGTGGAAGAAAGAAAAGGGAGGGAAATAGTGCCCAGTTGAAGATGATGACGTACAAAGTGACAATCAATCTCAATATGTTTTGTGCGCTCATGAAAGACGGAGTTATGAGCAATCTGAATAGCACTGGTATTGTCACAATACATAGGAGTCGGCACAGGTAACATGATGTCAAGATCAACAATGAGCCATCGTAACCAAACTATCTCAGCTACAGTAGATGTCATAGCACGATATTCAGCTTCAGCAGATGAACGAGAAACAATAGTTTGCTTCTTGTTTTTCCAAAAAATAAGAGAATCACCGTGGAAAATACAAAAACCCATAGTGGACTTACGGTCCATAGAGTCACCAGCCCAGTCAGCATCAGAATAAGCCCTGAGTTCCATAGAGGAAGAGGAGGAGAATAACAAACTCTGGTGCAGAGTACCTTGAAGAACCGCAGCCCAATGAACAAAGCCCCAAACAAAAATTAAAGGCCTCAAATAAGCAAAACAGGAAAATAAACAAACCAGCAAGTCAACCCACAAGCTGATGAATCAAGTTCAACAATAGGAGCAGTAAACCAGGAAACCGGCAACCCAGATCCAAATACCAACAAATTAGATCAAAGAAATACCAGAAGAAGAGAAGGAACTGCAACGCTGAACACAAGGAGCAAAGTCGATGCTCCTGTGCAGCGAACAACCCAGCCGATAGGAGAAGAGATGATCCTCAAACTAAGAAACCAGTGGTACCATGTTGTTACCCATGAAGAATCGAGCAAGTGGGTATCTCTGGTGACTACAAGTTTATGACATCAGCAGCCGAGCAGATGATGTCAGCTCTAACTGCTTTCAGTTTCTTCCTCCGATGAATGCTATTGTGCTACCATTACATTAGGATCGAAACATGCTCTGATACCATGTTAAATATCATCAAATTAGGAGAAGAGATAAAAGAGAGAAAATAGAGAATGATTGCATTACGGCTTAATGGAAAAATGCATACAAGAGGCCTTTATACAGAAGGGCAACATAAAAGAACAAAAGGATTAAACTACCCTTAAGACTAAATATTCTAACTACTCTAACAGGCACATTTTCCATAATGAACTAGGAAAAAATGGAAGAAAGAGAGAAAGCTTGCTTGTTTACCAATACATAGTTCACTTTATCAGTTTATCTATATGGATAGAAGAAAATAAATAATTTTTATAACAATTGTTGATTGTTGGTCATTGTTGTTGCAGATCATAGTGGTTGGATTTTTTCGTGAAGGACATCCAGACCTTGCAAAGTCCAACTTATTATGTGTCTGTGGGGATGCTTGTAAACCTGCAGAAGTTATCCAAACTGGAGTTTTCCGCTGTTTAATTTCGCCGCAAAATCCTGGATTAGTAAATCTTTATTTGAGTTTAGATGGCCACAATCCCATCAGCCAAGTTTTAACCTTTGAGTTTTGCGCTCCTTTGACGCGCAGCTGGATGATGTCTTCAGAAAACAAGTCTGATTTGGAAAATTTTCGTATCAAGATGAGGCTTGCTCATTTGCTCTTCTCTGCATCTAAGAGCCTTGACATTTTATCTGGGAAAGTCTCTCAAAAAGCCCTGAAGGAAGCCAAAACATTTGTCCGCAAAACTTCCCATGTCGCTCCCAGCTGGGAAAATTTAATCAAGTCAATTGAAGACAACAAAATCTCTTTTCTACAAGCAAAAGACAGCTTGTTTGAGCTCACTTTACAAAACAGATTACAGGAATGGCTTTTGGAAAGAGTAGTAGCAGGATTCAAAATCTCTGACCTTGATGAGCAAGGTCAAGGAGTAATCCATTTGTGTGCTATCCTGGGTTATACATGGGCTGCCTATCCATTTTCATGTTCCAGCTTGTCATTGGATTTTCGGGACAAATTTGGATGGACAGCTCTTCACTGGGCTGCATATTTTGGAAGGTAGTTTTTCTCTATGTTAGAATTTCAGGCATTCACCGCTTCTTAGATTGTAGCATCACTTTTACTCTTGAAATAGGGAGTTTTCTGCCTTACTTACACTCGCAAGTGTTCCACATCCTCACTGTTCTTAATATTTTGTCCCTATGTTATAGTAATGATTTTGACAAGAAATGTGTCCATAGTTTCGCAAACTATTTTGGAGTGGCTGAGTGCAATCCCTGTATATGTTTACAGTTTTGGGAGCATATTTATTGAACTACTAGCTAGTGTATATAGTGAATCATTTTTTTTTCCCTTGGATATGCATAACTGTTTTCAATTGATTCATTTCCTAATAAAAGAATTTTTAATTTTCAGGGAGAAAATGGTTGCAGCTCTCCTATCTGCTGGGGCAAAGCCGAATTTGGTCACACATCCCACTTCAAAAAATCCTGGTGGAAGCACTGCCGCTGATCTTGCATCCAAAAATGGTTATGATGGTTTGGCAGCTTATCTGGCAGAAAAGGGTTTAGTGAAACAATTTGAGGAGATGACCATAGCTGGAAATGCCAGTGGTTCACTGCAGACTTCCGTGCCAGATTTGGTGAACCCTGGGAACTTTAGCAAGGAGGACCCATATCTGAAGGATACTCTGGCAGCTTATCGGACAGCTGCTGATGCAGCAGCACATATACATGCTGCATTTAGGGAGCGCTCATTCAAGTTACAAACAAATGCAGTTGAGGTTTCTAATCCAGAGGATGAAGCACGCATTATAGTGGCTGCCATGAGGATTCAGCATGCCTTCCGCAACTATGACACGCGAAAAAAGATTGCAGCAGCTGCCAGAATCCAACATAGGTTCCGTACTTGGAAGATACGAAGAGACTACCTTAATATGCGTCGTCAAGCCATCAAAATTCAAGTAACCACTCTTTTTGCTGTCCTTTTACTCACATTACTGATAAATACCAAGAATTATCCAGAGTCGTATGGTGTATGATTTTCAGGTCAACTTAATGGGTCATGGTATCTCAGCTGACTGGAATCTCTATTCAGTTGTTTAAAATCTAATGAAGTCAGCTTGGGCTGCATGGTCTTTTAGTTTTAGTTTTAGTTTTAGTTTGGAGCACAGGCCTCATGGTTCTTGAGTAGCGCAAATAGTAGGCTTTCTAAAGGGATTAGTAAAGGCAGATATGGAAAATGATCCTTCTCCATGTAGGATGTTTGTTACATATTATGGATTAACCAAGATAAGTGTTTTAAAAAACTAAAAATTGGTATATTTTAAATTTTCCATTTATATTCTCGATTGTAATGCGCCACTGATGCTTCAACCCTCTTGATATACCACCGATTTAAATTTATTTGTCTGTGGTTCAGGCTGTTTTCAGGGGTTTCCAAGTACGGAAGCAGTATCGGAAGATTATTTGGTCTGTTGGAGTGCTTGAAAAGGTAATTTTGCGTTGGCATTTGAAGAGAAAAGGCCTTCGTGGGCTTCAAGTTCCTCCTGGGGAAGCTGTCAAAGATCAAAAGCAAGAAAATGAAGTGGAGGAAGACTTTTTTGTAGCCAGCAGGAAACAAGCAGAAGCGCGGATTGAGAGTTCAGTTGTACGAGTCCAGGCCTTGTTTCGTTCGAAGAAAGCACAAGAAGAATATCAGAGGATGAAGTTGGAGCATGATAAAGCCACGGTAGGCAATTTCTGTTCAACATTTGTAAGCATCAGGTGTTGAACTTGTATATAGCACTCAACCTACTTATCCTTTCGCTGTGCAGCTTGAATATGAAGGGCTTCTGGATCCTGATATTGACATGCAATGAGAGGAGAATAGGATTCAGGCGTTGTTCGCTTGGAAGTCTAGACAGCTACAACAGTACTAGTGAGAAAAGAAGTGAAGGGAAAGTTTATGTTCAATGTGATGGGTGTACATCTTGTAAATGCCTTAGGTGAAGGTAGTGCCTTGGTACTGACCCTTTTATATGTTCTATCTCACAGCCTTTTCTTCTGGTGGAAATGGGTGGTTTGTGGTTGCAGTTTCCCTTTCTATTGGGGGTAATATTTCAGGCCTCGACACTAGGTTTAAGACTTTTAAGTTCTATATCCTTCATTGGATGCTTTGAGTGCTGTATGATTTGGATGGCTTGATTTAGCAAATGTATACAGGCAATATAGCACCTATTCCGCGTATCTACGCAGATTTCTTGCTGTTAAAAGTCAGTTTTATCTGTAGTGGTATATCAGAGAACCAACACAATCTTTTCAGCAAAACATATACAAATTGGTTGAGACACACCGCCCTGGGACAAACCAGAGAGAGACTCATTTTGTGCATATACCTGCACGATTGCAGGCACAAGGTGCTGGATTCTTTTAACTATGTGAGGCAACCCATTAGTGGTCGCCTCTGATTTCTTTCTCCTAAATGCCACAAGGGGCTTCAGCTGCTTGCAATATAACTTCCTGCTCAGTTCTCCGGCCCTTCATTGAACACATCGGGAGCTGCTTTTTCCTCTGGTAATCGGGTCCATCACTCGTCTCTGGTACCGAGCAAAAGTATCAGAAAACAGAAGAAGCCTGCCCCCAACCCGTTTAATAATCAACTTCTTCTCTTCCACACGAGCCCTGCTCCAAAATCAGCCGGCTCAGGAAGTCAAGGTGGAAATAGGCTGCCACCTACTGCTAAAAGTCATTCTTGGAAAGCAAGTAAAAATACAGAAATTATTCAGCAAATAGGCTGCCACCTACTGTGAAAGTCATTCTTGGAAGGCAAGTAAAAATACAGAAAGTCACAACCGGGGGTAAAAATGACAGCTATGGAAGAAAGTCGGATCAAAACAAAACAAAAATCTTAGGAGGTAAATGGAAGAGGGAAAAAACCCAAGGATCAAATCGAGCAGATGATTGACACGGACCTGGACAACAGCAATGGTCAATCCCAACTTCAACATTATCGAAATCTTCCCTAGTGCGCACACACATAACATACACCCCAAAAAAAAAAAATCTCACAAAATACAAAATGCTCCTTAATTTTATGTTTTCTTCTGCAATTTGGGTAATCCCACCCCCAACAAAACCACCACCACTACTCCAACAAAGGAGTAAAATCCCAAAAGAGGGTCGTATTCCACCTTCCCCCAATCAATAGAAAATGTGCCCTAACCCTTCATTATCTAATGCAATCATGTATAAAATACAGAGATAGCAAACAGATACAACTTACCAACAGTTTGTGACCTGGAAAAAAGGACGAAGACCACTAGCAAGTACTACATATTCAATTTTACATGGTGAATATTAACACTGCAAACACCAGCTCACATAAGACTGCCACCGGCAGTTACAGGATATAACCACCGTGCAGGACTTGCACACCAATTTCTCTTCCATTCTCCTACTTGATGTATTGGGAGAGCCATTTGAAACCTTCCCCGTATCCCATCTTACGCACAATGCTGCACATGAACACCTCTATGGGACGGACATTAGAGTCGGTAAGGTTAACCTTGCCCTTACCAGTGGTGATACCAGTTAGACCCAAGTAATAACGCAACTCATCTTCTGATGCAGCGTAAGGTATGTCAATCTTGTTCCCCAGTATCAGGAACGGGACATTGGCTAGTGACTCATCTGACAAGAGGGCATCCAGCTCCTTCTTTGACTCGGCAAATCTTTCTTTGTCGTAAGCATCAACAAGGTAGACCACAGCATCCACCTGCATGATAAAGCAAATGGCATGCTATTGAGAAAAAAATAAATTGAGTTTGTTACCAGCCAGAAGTTGTGATCTGGTAAAGCATGCCTTTTATAGAAGCAGCAAAACTACAGAACAGTAACAGCACACCATAGCATGTAAGATATTACTGCAATTAACTCAGGTCAAGACTCCTGACCCTCTGAAAGCCACTTGATATGAAGTATTAGCTACCAGAACCACAACACACATACGATAATACTACGAGGATAGAAAGACAGACAATAATGGATATATCATTAAAATTTGGAAGGGACTTGTTTGTCCCATAACAGATGATATCTGCAGCAATAGGAGACAGGGTTCCAGCAATCAAAGCTACAAATTGAATAAAACAAAGAATTCCACAAAAACTAAATATACATTTATTGCAACAACTTGAATCATTGGGCGTTATTGAGAGTGCAGAGAATGAATTGGCCATTAATAAGACAATAAACCACCACAAGAACTAAATTTGCAGAGAGTAATTAACCAGAAGAAGACAATATTCAATTATTTTTTAGGTAACCCCAAGACCTTTCATATTTCGAAATTTCATAAATATGTGCAATCATGACATTCTAATAATCTAATGCACAGCAATACATGCCTCGATTTGGTTTCAAATCTTCTTTGGCTTCAACATTCAGGAAATCTTATAGTTGTCATTCTTACATGAGACCTTGAAAGATAAAATTGATGTGAGTCTCCCACCAAGATTCCGATATTCTGTGTATCAATGTACGTGAATAGAAATATCCAACCCCCCAACAGGGCGATTGTTTTACGATGCTCTTCTTAATTACCTCACTCCAACATTTTTTTGTGTCTTTCCCCTTCCCTTCGCCTAGCATTTCCATTAGATGCTGTATGGAAAAAATCAAGTTTATACCAATCTTCTCACTAACGTTTTCATCCAGTTACACAGGAATTTCAATTGCGCTAATCAATTTTAGTCGGGAAAAAACAAATGAACAAGAATCAAGATTGAAAACCGTCTCATATAATGCCCCACAAACAAAGATATATAAGTAAAATCTTATAGATATCAAACCCTAACGAACAAAAGCATATAAAATAACAGTGCAAAAAGGTCTCTACCTGGGCATAATAGTCCTTCCAGACTCGGCGAGCGATCTGATGACCGCCCAAATCAAAGGCCTTGAACTTTATCTTCCCTATACTCAATTCCTCAGACGTCGGATACTGTGTCGGTTGATGCTGTACCAATCTCTGTATCCAAACAAGATTCCCATATACATAAGAACTATAATTCATATATATATATATACACTAAATTATCAGCATCCATGTATGAATTCAAGAAGAAACCATAATTAACTCACAAATAATCTGAAAAAAAAAAAACACATAGGAAGATAATAACAAGAAAAAAGGAATCTCCAGGCGAGAGAAAGAGAAAGAATTGGAACCTCATCTTTCAACATATGAAGCAAAGTGGTCTTTCCAGCATTATCAAGCCCTAAGAATAAGATCTTTGCCTCTTTCTGCCACAAACCAAGAGACGCCAAAACTCCATAAAACCAATCCAAGAGAAACATTTTTCTCTATTTTTAACCACAGATATAACAGCACACGGCACTCCAGCAACCTTTCCGGTAACCAAATCGGATATCTCGCCGGCAAAAGCAAACGACAGCCTTTCGTCCGATCTATCAAACAAAACCGATGACCAGAGTTTGATAAAAAAAAAAAAAACTGAGACGATTATAATGTCAGGTCGTGTTTTATATAGAGTGAGGTGGACTGAGTACCGGTTTGGCCGTTTGGAGAGTGTCATGAAAGTGATGGGATTGATGACTTGGGGGGAAGAGGTGACTGGGAGTGTCCGGTGAATGAGGCTGTTGTCCAGATGGCAAACATCGATTGGTTAGTGCGCGTCATCAGAAGAAGAATGCTGGCCGTCGATTTTGATTTGTTTAGTGCGCGTCATCAGAAGAGTGCTGGCCGTCGATTTAGAAAACTTGAGGTGTGATTTAGATTTGTTTAGAGGAAAAGCTAGGTACAGTAAGTCATACAGTATGGCGATGATCTGTCAAACAGTCAAAGTGTCAAATTACTATTTAATTCTTGATTCTTTGCCTAAACTCTTGTTTTTTATTTTTGATATTTTTTTTTATTTTGTCCACGATTTCCACGTGCATAAATTTTTTTTACTTCAACAATCAAATGATGTGTTCAAACCAATTTACGTGCATTTCGAAAAAATATTTCACTCAAAACATCATTTTCGCTGTACGACTCCTAATAGGGACGGAACTAAGATTTTACTATGACGGGGGACAAACAATAAAATAGACAAGGATTTTATTTAACATGATTTTTCAATAATCTATTTTATTTTCTTACTTGTTATATATTATAATAGCTATGAATAATTTATCTTCGCAACTAATAATTCCACACATACCATAATATTAAGGAAAATGTTAAATAGATTTAAAAATTTGACTTGATAAATTATTATCATTAAATAGGTAAAATATCATAATAAATACTGAGATCCACAATTAAATCAATAACAAATATAACAATCACATTATTAAATTAATTTAAGTTTATGTAACATTGCTCTAATATAAAATGAATTATGAGTTATTATCGTGATTCTACTATAAATCGCATTTGTAACCCAATTTTATGAAAAAAAATCACTTAATTTTTTTCCTTTGTTCATCAAAATTATTTAAACAAGTGGCTTTTCCTGAAAGAGCAACAATAATATATGTAATTACATTAACAATTTTGTTAATAAATATGAAATCTTCAATCTTTTTGAACACATTAAGTAAAATAACATACTCTAGATATTTGAAAACCTAGGGAAAACCAATAGAACTTTCTAAAAATGAATGGGGGCTATAGGGATTTTTCAAAATGGCTAGGCCTATACGCATTTCCTAATGTCAAATATTTCAATCAATACAATTCTTAATACCAAAAAAATTTATTAATTCACACTTATTACCCTCTTTCTTATTTTTTTGATGTTCACTTTAGCTTTAAGTTACATAATTAAAAAAAAATATAAATATTACATTATTAATATTTAATTTTTATATTATAGAGTGTTTTCAAATACTAGTATCATTTTCTATCAATCAAAAATTACGTGTGATAAAAGATAGTGTATTTTGGCTGAAAGCCTAAATGAGATGAGAGAGTGCGGCAGGGAGGCATAATTTTGTACTTCTTCCCCTAAACACAATAATGACACAAACTGAGACATTTGTGGTGGTGGGTGGTCACGTGTCAAGTGTCAACCCACCACCCATTGTTCCTTTTTCCAAACCATTATGAAAATGCCGAACCCCTCGATCACACTAAGTAGTGACAACAATCAGAATCAATTCACACTAGTAGGTTGATGTTGTGGGCCGACGCCAATTCTAGAAAGCACAATACAAAGAATAAAAGTATGTGCATTAAAATTGTACATATGTAATCATCGGGTCAATGATGAGATTTATCATCCGACTGCTCCACATAATATTTTAGTACATATTTTTAGTGCACGTAACATTGCTCAAATACAAAATGCTTAGTAGAGGTTGTCCAAGTTGGTACCCACCCAATGCCAAAGTTCCCAAAAAAAAATAAAATTGTGAAGGTCTAGTCTAGTCATCTTGACAGGCATATAATGGACTAAGACTCTAACCACAAAGGTTCCTAATGCACATTCCTTAGGCAAACCTCCACAACATGGCATATTGCATAAGTATCTTCTTTCCAAATTATTCTCTACTAATTGTCTTCCAGTATCATTCACCATCATTGAGTAAAAGGCTCGCTTTCGCTCAATGGGTCTCACTTGAATATACAATAGGTAATCCACAAAAAAAGAAAAAAGAAGTTGAAGAGAAAATATATTGAAGGAAAACTCACCGCTCTCTCAATAAATCCAAAAGGGTATGGGCAATAAAACTAGCTAGCACAACTACAATAGTTTCATTTGCTACCGAATTCTCTATCTTCACTTTTCTGTTCAAAGGATTAGAAAAAGAGAAAACATTTAGCCCTAGAAGAGAAATAAAATGAAACAACTCTAACTCTGAATAAATTTTAAACCACATATTTACTGTCTCATGGGGACAATAGAAAGAGGAACTAGTTGGCGTAGATTTTGTTAATAATAAAGACCCTTTACGGATTATGCACTGAATCCTTCATCCCCGAAATTCAATGAATTGATGATTAACTCTTTTTTTTTTTAGTGGTTGTCATACGCAGATAAGTTCGTGTTTTCTCCTTAGAAAGAAGGTCCTCAAAAAAGCCTCTTCAGCCCCGACGAGGGTCAATAATCAGAACCAATTAAGGGAAAAGCCCAATATATAATGCTAACTTGTTGTCGAAGTCGTTAGTGCCAAAAGTTCGTTTATCCAAAAAATCTTAAGGCCGAGGCCCAAAGGGTGATGTTGTCATGGACCTCTAAATTCGACGACCTTGACTGAAAAGGCCGAGGCCCAAAAGGGTAATGTTGTCATTACGTACATCAGAATCAAGAACTAGGGTTCGGAAAGAACTCTCATTAAGGCCCAACCCTTCTGCCCCACCCTCTTTCTCGTTCTGAAAACACTAACTCCTCCTCCACTGCCTCTCAGCAACAAGGTATGCTCTCTCTCTCTCTCTCTCTCTCTCTGCGTATATATAATCGAAACCCTCAGTTTAAATTGGTTGATTGATTTTGATTTACTTCGTTCTCTGTCCCTTTTGAACAGCTTCTGTAAGAGAAGAGATGGCGAAGTCAAAGAATCACACGGCTCACAACCAGTCACACAAGGCCCACAGGAACGGGATTAAGAAGCCCCGAAAGCACCGCCACACTTCCACCAAAGGGGTTCGTGCTCGTTTTGATTCGTCGCATACATATATGTTTATATAGATTTTTTTTTTTTGTGAAACTGTCTGTGCCGATGTGTTCAAAGTTCAAACTATTGATTTATATTTTTTCGACATTTGTTAGATGGATCCGAAGTTTTTGAGGAACCAGAGGTACGCAAGGAAGCACAACAAGAAGAGCGGTGAATCTGCCACCGAAGAAGAGTAGACTATGCACATCTACCTCTGAATATCAAAATGGCATTCGTATCAGTGTTTTGATCTCTGTTTAGGTTTTTGATTTTATGTTTTACTTCCAGCTGCTGGAAGTATATTAATGTGACGTTGAGCAAGTAATTTTCTTGGTTATGGAACTATTTTAATATCAAATTCTACTGTGGGTTGAACTTAATTTGTTATCATAAGTATACTTCGTTGTTATTTTCTGAAATGCTATTGTTTATGTTCTGGATTAACTTTGAAGCTCTTCTTGTTACTGGTGGTTTTGAATCTAATGCTTATTCTATTTCAATGGTTATTGTTTTCGATTACCTAGTCATGACAAGCATGTTCATGTGTCGTTGTGTTGAAAACTGTCGCCCCTAATATAAGCAATTTCAGTCTCTATAAAGTCACACTGTATGGCTCGTTGATAGTGATCAATATGTTGTGATCCCAGCTGCTGGAAGTATAGCACTGTGACTTTGAGAAAGTAAGTTTCTTTGTTATGGGACTATTTTAATATCAGATTCTACTGTGGGTTGCACTTAATTTGTTATTATGAGTATACTCGGTTGTTATTTTCTGAAATGCTGTTGTTTCTGTACAGGATTAACTTTGAAGCTCTCATTGTTAGTGGTTGCTTTGAATCTTATACTTGTCTCTTTTAATGGTCATTCTTTTCGATTACCTGGTCATGACAAGTATGTTCATGTGTTGTCCAGTGTTGAAGAATCGTGTTGAAAATCGTCACGCCTATTATGAGCAATCTCACAGTTCTCTGTATAGGCACACCTGTATGGCTTATTGACTTCTTGTATAGGTTGTGAGATCCCACAATGTTGTGGCAAGAATGTTTCGGTTACTAGCTGAATTCTCATGCACTTCTCCGAATGCTAGGTACTTTTGGTGATGGTGGGTGGATTTTGATTTATTGGACCTCTATCTGTCGGTGATTTTGCAATTAATTTAGGCATTTATATGCTATTTTCTTTATTTGATTCGTCAAAGAACAATAGGTTGTAATTGCCATATGGTTGTGTTTAGTACATGTCTTTAGGTTGTGGAATTTCCTTATTAGATGGTGGTTCTTAAAATTAACTACCAGACCAGTTAGATGGATACCTTGGATAGTGCTTTATTGCCCAACTTAATCTATTGCTGTATTGATTGCAATGCCACGGGGTTTATTGCTGTTGTCGTGGCCTTGCATTCTAAATGTTGAGTTGACTTATGAAGTAGTTTGGGGTATTAGTCATGATCGATTTTCATCCAGCCAAAGCATTATGTAGATGCTCTTTCTTCATCTTCATCACTGTTTGTGACCCAGGATTCTATTTTATCATCAATTCAATCTCTGTTGTCTACCCCCTAAATGACAGGTTTATAATGTACAGGAAGACAAGTCTACGAAACCTAAAAAGAGAATTTTCGATATCATAGCGTTATCCATATGTTTATTGTTTGCGGTTCATCATAAACGATGATATGATGATCAGTTCCATCACAAGTCTTGGCTGTTTGTTCCTGGCCATTCAGTTTACGGGTTGAATCTACTGCTTTCTATCGCACATCGTCAATCCAAATTACTGTAGTACCTAAGAGGAGCACATTCATATCATACTTTTATGTTTATTCAACCATGACAGGGCATAAAAAATTCAATAATTTTACACACCTCGCTTTCCTACAGCACTTCAACATAAAATTAATAGGTCATAGAGTTTATCAAATATCCAATAACTTTGATTGTGTCACGTCAAATAGTCTACAAGATATGGTGTATTCACGTCATTATTCTAAAAAAATTGAGAAAATTTCATTTTACCCTCTGAAAATACAAAAAATCTTAATTTGTTTTTTGAATGATTAATTTTTTCACATTGACCCCTCAAAAAATAAAAACATTACAATATGACCTATCATCTTATGTTTTGTTGACAATCAAACAAAAATAAAACAGTAAACCTTTATTTCTTTGAGAGAACAATGTAAAAAAATTAATCATTCATAAGACAAACTGAGAATTTTTGTATCTTTTACATAGCAAAATAAGACTTATGCAAAATAATTTATTTTTTTATTGGTTCAATTTATTATTATTATTATTATTATTATTATATTGGAATCAATAGCTGCATGCAATTCAAATCAAGAAAAAAGTGAGACGAATAACTTGCAACAATTCTCATGATGTTTAGAGATAAAATTCATGGCAGTCTCTGTTAAATGGCTTCCTTTAGGACAGTAAAAACAACTCCGAGGATGATCAATACCAACATCTCGGCGAGGACTTCAAAAACAAGCCCAAGCACACCCAATTAAAAATTCTATTAGCATATCTCTCAACATTTTGTTCCTTCTCTTTTTGTGGCAGGGAGGATGATTATTTCCCTCGTTGTATGATGTGCAGTCCCTTGACACTACCTAATACATTCAAATTTCTTAAAAAATGTTACACCGGGAGTGTTCAACGCTTTAGACAGCAACAGGTTCACGAAAGGGACTAGTAACATGAGCATTATTTACCTGCTTCCAAAATTAGAAAGATGGTGAATAGCAAGAATTTGTCACCGTCTCAAATGAGTTTTGCTATTAAAACTATAGAACAACCAAAAGAGGTAACAAAATGCCATAACAGTTTTTTTTTGTTTTTTTCCAGTCGAAAATGCCATACAGTTGAGTGTTATATTGTGTTTCTTTAAAATAAGTGCCTGAAGTATCTGAACATATGTATGCAAATGTGAAAAGCCCATTTTTCTGCATGATTTGCTAATGGGATGTGATGGGTTTGCATTTTACCAATTGGATGATCCTAAGCTTAACTATTCCTGCAGTCAAAGGCTAAATATATAGTCGTCCTTTGATTGGTTGTTACATTAATTCCAAAAAAAAATTGATACGTGACCATAAAGAGAAATAGATAAACTTCTTTTAGTATCTAATACCAGGAGCCTTACCTTAGCTGATTTGAAAAGTTCATCAAGAACTTCGGACAAAGTTGGATGTGCATGAACTGCAAACTTTATGTCCTGCAATTGAGGAAAACATACAAAATTAATTTTCTCATAGAAGAAAATGTATTGTTTAGCTCGCAATCATTAGAAGAAAAAAGGAGGATAATTAGAGTGCTTGGTTATTATCAGCTAGCTGAACACTTGCAAAATATGAGGTGGGGAATGTGGTGATTATGTCACAAGTAAATTATTAAATGAAAAGGAGCAAAAAAGGTTGTAAGCTGAGGTAAACTCCAATTTGCATGAAGTGTCTTAGACGTAGCCTTAAAGCAGGATTCATGGCCTGACACTGGAGATTTAGCACAGCAGAATAACCTGAACACGTGTCCCCAATGCTATGGCATTGGATGCTTCATGAATGAGGTCTGCAGCATGCAATCCAAAAATATGAACTCCAAGAATTTCCCCATTGTCACTTCTGTATATTAACTGCACGAAATTACATATCCAGAGCTCAAAAAATCAAATGCAGTAAAAGAAAATAATTGAACATGACAACAGTGGGAATATAGAAAAGTATGAGGGCACAGAACTGGAATCAGTCGCTGAATTTGAATGCAAACTGAAGAAGTCTAACAGTGTAGTAGGACCAAAATAAATGTTGCCAACCCCCCACCCCCAGGGGGCCGCGCGCACATGCAGTCTGCGCATACAAATATTGCATGCTTTTATGTCTTTTTGACATTGCTTAGTGCTACTCCACAACAAGAGTTGATGAACTTCTCTGTGGTAAGCAGTCTTCAAACTCTTTTTGTGCTTTGTGATCTTTCAGAACTATGTGGCCATAAGTAGGAAATAAACAGAGAATGACAACAATAGTTGTTTATATTATCACAGGAAACACATACAAAATTCAAAATATGCTATGGTATTAATTTTCTATTTACAGCCGCCACCATGTAACAACCTATCCAGTGGTTTACTTGAACCATTTTAGCATCCCAAGAAGCATAACCCCATCAGAAGGATGAGGACCATATATAGCCACCTCACAGTTCAGACTTCAGGACATAGGGGGAGAATCGATCATTGCTGTTTATATACGTAGTTTCTGCACATAATAGCTGGAAAAAGAAGTGTTAGGAAATATCACCTTAGCAAGTCCCTCCCCCTCGTTTTCTGCCAGGGCCTTCGTATTAGCCTTAAAACTAGTCTTGGCAATACTTATCTCGAATCCCTCCTTTTCAGCTTTTTCTCTGGCTTGAGGCTGAAAAATTAATATGTGAGCCAGAAAGCAATATAAATCATTCGTGCAAAATAAAAAGCAAATGAAAAGTGAAACATGACAACATACAAGATTCCACAGCAAGATCACCTTTTTCCTTTTCGCTACCATCAAAGGAAGAAAGAAAAAAATATATGTAAAGGAGAACGGAAAGTGGTCATGAAACTGTAAACTCAGCAACATTACATTGGAAGCAGATTGGATTATGGAGAGGGTGTGAGAGATTGGAGATGATGTTGCTTAAAGAAATAGAGTAAGTTGGTTAAGCAGACAAGTGAGGGTATCCCATTGTGTGATGATGTATACCTGTGAAACTCAAAGGAAAGGCTCATACAGCAGCTATAAAATCAGTCATGCTCATGGCATAATGTTAAAGCAACTAAGAGACATAATAGAAATGCAGATGAGGAGATGGATGTAAAGTACAAAGAAAATACTGAACTGGTTCATTGAATGGTAGAAGGAGAACCTATAGAAGATATGTAGTTTTTGAAAAAAAATTAAGTTGATTTGGACAGGTTCAATATTTGGAAGAGTGATAATGGACTCTACTGACACTAACGTGAGGGGAGATTATCTGTTGTCAGTAGGAGGAGGGGTAGACCAAAACTAATGCAGATTGAGCTAGTAAAGAAAGATAAGATACCTTAGATTACAAAAGGAGTTGGTGTGGAATGAAAAATTCACACTTCTTTGAGCATTAAGGTTACAATAATTCTTTTGGCTTGCCTCTAATTCCAGAACCATAAAATACCATATAGTTAGCTACAAATTACAACCTCAGAAACTAGAAATGAACCACCTACGTATTGAACTGAATTAGAAACAAGAAATGAACGAACTACATAACGAACTTAACAAAACTATGTTCTAGCTATAACCAGGCAGGAAATTTTTTGGGGGGAAACGACTCCAACAGTGTGTGGCTACAGAAAAATTTGTGTCACACTACAACCTATTCTATCTTGAAGTCTTTCCGCCAAATTGAACAGCAGGAACTACAGTCAAGGAAAGCTCATAATATGGTTGAATGGGATTGAAGCTTCAGACAGAGCAATTAGAGAACCTTTAGTCCCAATGAGTGCAATTTCAAAACCTTTTGACCTTTAACCAGCATTAATCAAATTTATATAGAATGGGGATGCCATTGCTTTTAATTCTTAAATTGGTCAAACTTGGAGTATCTTAAATGTCATCGGCATTATTTTGAGTGGCCTAGCATAAAGATGCAGAACCTACCAAAAGTGGAGGTTCTTCACTAACTAGGAAAGTACATAAGGGTTGCAGTGGAAAAAATATATCCAAGCAAAATTTGTCTAAAAAGACGCCAAAAAAATCCAGGATTTCGAAACTCAATTCATCATTAAGCTCATTCCATCATTAAAGTTTAAGAGGCCATTGTCTGGTGCAATAGTTAAAGTGTCGGGCTACCAAACATGAGGTTACAGGTTCAAATAGAAGGGCAGCCGCTTGGTGTGAACAACATCAGAGGTGAGATATGCAACCACCTCATTCCTCCCACTACCCTCGATTAATGGGGACCAAACTGAGTAATGGCCCTATTTCTATCAACCAAATGAAACAAACCATCTAATTCCATCACAGTGAACAGATTTATCTAACAAAGAATGGACATCAAAAACAATACCAACTAGCCTCCTAGCATCCTAAAACAGATCATGCAAAAGATGTAGCATTTACCTCTGTCAATCCAACCATACTGATTTCAGGATGGGTGAAACAAGCTGCTGGGATGCTCAAATGGTTGAGCACATGATCACTTCCAGTGACTTGTTCAACCACTATATGAAGAGAGCCATTAACACACGAAACGAGCATGAAAATATTAAATCTAAAAAGCAAAGAATGAGGTAAAGCCACTTACCTGAAATTCCTTGTGCACTTGCTGCATGAGCAAGCATCATTTTACCATTTGCATCACCAATGCAATATAAGTGAGGAACCTAATGATAGAAGTTACGTTAGTTACACTGCCATCAGCCATGCACAAAAGTGTACTTGAAAGGACTTGCAATATACCAGGTTGCCATCTGCATCGATCACTCGCATGCGCTCATCAACCGGAACAAAACCGCGTTGTGTCACTACATTGATCTGAAAAAACACTCAATATACTAGTTAGAATCATTCATCTAACAGCATGTTCTTGTTTATCTCATACATGATAACATTAAAGAAGGCATACATTCTCCAGCCCAAGACCGTTAGTAAATGGAGCCCTTCCCGTTGCAATTAATGCAGCATCAACCTATGGAAAAAACAAAATCAAAAGTCTGTTATGAATGCCACAACATGATTATATACGAGGGGAAACAGATGAAAAGTAAACCTTTGAAATGGATGATGCTATGAAATTGGGGTTTACTCAATGTTCTCCAGTTGCTATGAAAACCATGGTTTAACTAGAGCAAGGACACCACTCTATATTGGTCTCACATTTCAACGACTAAAGGTTGACAATAGAAATTTCTTTGTTGCCAATCAACTCTATCTATGCCACAGTTCTTGCTATTGAATCACATCATTTCTTTTTAACTTAATCAACTAATATTAATTGCTTCCAAAAATCAGAAGTGCATGGATATAAATTTCAAAAGGATAACATCAATTGCAATCGAGCTGCTAAAACCTGCTAGCATCACTTTGAACATAGGAGTTAAAACACACTGCATGCCAGAAATATCTTGCACTCAATTCTAAACGTGCAACAGCACAATTGAAGCTACTAGAGTCTCAGAAAGAAAAAAAAAAAGAAGCATAATCACTGGGAAATGATTTTATTAAAATCATTAACAGGAGATGTATGTGGAAACAGCAGCATTTTGCTCAACTAGTTATCCATCTAACTTTTATGAATGTTCTGTGGATGCATTCTTAAAGGTTCTACACAAGGTTTTTTCCCCTCGCTTCGCTGAAAAAACAAGGTAATCCTTTCATTCAAGTCCTCATGGAACTTGGCTAATCCATTAATAGTCAAAACAACAATTTGGCCCTCTAATTTTAAAATCTCCAGTTGCAACACAAGTTACAAACAACCAACCAAGAATATTTTAGCTAAAAGAGATGTGTACCATCTCTAGCATAAACTCCAATTTCTGATGGAAATAATCAGATCTCATCTGTTGTACATACCTCCAAAGTATCTTTTGGCTCTTTTGTCTTGGCATCAATAAGCTCGATGATGACTGGTTTCCCATCTTTTGCTGGAGTAATCTATTTAAAAGAAATGGTCAAAGAAATAAATCCACTTGTATATATGAAGCCGTGCACCAGAAAATCAAACAAAAATGATCAAGGAAGTACCTTGGTTGCAAAGACACCAGTATGGTAGTCAATTTTTCGTGGATTTATTAGAATTCTTTGAGCTAATTTGCCAATCTCTGGATCAAATCCAGGCATGAGCTGATCAAGAGCTTCAATAAAGGTGACCTGGGCAATATCTTTATGATCAATTTAATTGAATTCCAAGAAGAATGAGAGAACTGAGGGTATTATATGATAAAACATCTAATTGAATTGCAAATAGAAGCGAAACTTAATTTGCTCACGAGTCAGGCCAATAAGAAGACATGAGAAAGTTAATGATATATTCTATTTTGCTAGTATAAAAGTTTGACTTCTCCAGTTTACTACGCAAAAAAACAGAAATGAAAAGCAATACAAATAAAGCTTCACATCTCAGAACAGGCAACTCAAACCCTAAAAATCATTTAAAAAAAATTGAAAAATAAAACAATACCTTAAAAGAGAGCAGAGAAAACAAAGTTTCCAATAGAGAGAAAAAAAAGGAAAATATATTTTATCACCATAATATAGTAAGTCAACAAAATTTTGCCAATTTTGAAAAAGGAAGTTTTCTCTTTCAAATATTCTTAGACTGGAGAGGGAAAAATTTGGAAATAAAAATCCTAGTATGACGGATATGATTATGATCCAGTGAGTGTGTGTGTGTGTGTGTTGGGGTGGCAGAGAGGAGAAAGATCTGCAATGCAAATTTCAAATAGAACTGGAATGCAACATTCAGAAGCAGCGAATTTCTCATATATTATATTCAACTACACGCATGTCTACTTCAACCAAACAAATGGTTAGCATTTGCTGATTTCAACTGGAATGAAAAGTGAATATACTATAGAAAAAAGGATTGAGAAAATGGAGAGAAACAGAAGGATACTACCTCACTACCAAGTGCTGTGTACACGTCACTGAATTCAAGCCCAATATAACCACTTCCAACAATCACTATCCAGTCAGGGACAAACTCCAACTTGAGAGCATGATCACTAGTAATTACAGTCTTCCCTGCAGGTTGTTCCCAGTGTTAGAAGCCATATGACTACAAGAATGCTTGCAAACATCTGATATATATAGCAGAAAACTGGTGTAAGAGTTCTTCCTTTGAAAATGACCATAATAAGGATGCAAGAGCATAAGGTACTTCCTAGGAACTGTGAATCCTCTCCTAGGCAGAACTCATCAAAGCGTATGACACAGAATTTGCTTCTAAATTGTTTATCATGGTCATCCAAATGTACATGCATAGAGGGGAAATAACACCTTAATTTCTCAATTGTTTCTTCTTATACAGTGGTCAAAGTTGTTTTTTGAATATGTACGGTCATGGTTGTTTTTCGAATATGTACGGTCATGGTTGTTTTTCGAATATGTACGGACATGGATCTCCAAAAGCTATATAGAAGGAAAACTTTTTTATTTATTCCAACCATGTAAACTGCATACAGTTTTTTTTTTTTCTGCAAAGAATTGACACAATTTCTCAACATAAGTTGTCTCAAGCCCCCAGCTCATCAACAGTTTGCATCTCCAATTATACTAGGTCTTATGACCAATAGGATAAACATTTCTGTAGCATCAAAGCTGATGCTAATCACAGAAAGTTGCTCATAGAATCAAAATAGGAAATCAGTATGGGGAAAGAAGAATATCTACCATCAACTTCGATGCCTTGAGGAACAAAAGGAATAGAACCAGTGGCAATGATTATATCCTTTGCAGTTATCACATTGTCAGTAAAGCCAACTTTACCATACTTCACTTTCTGAGGACCCTGAATTTGTTCATAAATGAAATCATTAACACTAGAGTAAATTACCAATTAGCCATACAATAAAATTTTCAAACACAGAATTAGCATTAATGAAGATTGTCAGAAATTTGAATTACCAGTACTGTGCCAAATCCTGTCAGTATGTCCACACCAAGTGCCTTCATTGAATTTGTCAAATTATTACGAATTTTTGAAGCAAGATTATTTGCATGATCAGCCACTCCTTGCCTGTCATACCCAGCAGCTGAAACCTAGCATTGGTGATAAAATAACATAAGACAGATGACATTGCCAAGTAACAACATCAACAAAATGTTGAAGGGAAATTTTGAACAAAAGAGTAACTTGTTTGACACTAAAACGCATTTGCTCTGCTTAAAAAAGATATAATAGAGCAGAAAATGCTTTAAGCACTGCGGTATTGGCTATCAACTCAGAGGACATTGAAGACGCATTGATCGTGGCATCGTGGAATAGTATTGGGAGGGCAATTTGCATAAAATGAAAAATAAAAGAATAATTTGAGCACGACAAGAGATTTAAGTCATATTGTGGTGTCGTAAAACAGTATCAATCGGTTCGATGAGGATCACTCAGACAACTCATTTGATTCGAAGACGTCTAGGATGACACAGTTGAGCTGTGTGGAGCTTGTGGTTTACACTAACAAGACCAGTGTTGGACCAAAACACCTTTTAATGCAATGAATGACCGACTCTGGAGAAAGGACTTCAACTTTTAATTTTGTCAACTATCTTCGATGGTATTATTCCCAAAAAGACCTGTCATGCCACAAACTATGAATTCCTCTCCGCTATGTATTTAACGAACAAGAAAAATAAGTTGAGCATGACAAGATATTCAAGTCATATTGTGATGTCGTAGAACAATATCAACTGGTTTAATGAGGGTCATTCAGACAACTCATTTGACTTGAAGACATCTTGGATGACACAGTTGAGCTGCGTGGACCTTGTGGTTTACACTAACAAGATTAGTGTCGGACCAAAACACCCTTTAATGCAATGAATGGCCGACTCTAGAGAAAGGACTTCAACTTTTAATTTGGTCAACTCTCTTCGGTATTATTCGCAAAAAGACCTGTCATGCCACGAACTATGAATTCCTCCCCGCTATGTATTTAACGAACAATGTGTACACCACCATAATTTGGTGGAAAAGACATCATATAAGTTACTAGCTTTCATTAATGCAAGAATTTTTGCCATCTCTGGTGTACAAACCTAAGTGGCATATCTACCACTGCAAAAAGAACCTAACTAGGTGCATTCACTTAAGCTTCGTAACTTGATTAAGCATGGTGCTTGGCTTACCTGCAAACCCAAAGCCTTCAAGTGATGCTCATTTTGAAGTTCACGCATTCTCCCACTTACAGCAAGAAGAGCTTTAGAAGGAACACAACCTCTGTTTACGCAGGTTCCACCAACCACATCTCCCTCAATGATAGCTGTTTTGAGACCCTGAAAGATATTGAAACAACACATTTCTTTCCACTGTAAGACATCAGATCAGGAGGACAAATAACAACAGTAAGTGAGCTTGTTAAAGCACTAAGCAAGACTCGCGCACAACAATGCTCATCACCACACGTAAGCAACAGATAAATACAATATAGAGGGGTGAAAACCTGCCAACCCAGTAAGTAAACACATGTTCATGCTCTGCCATGAAATCAAAAGCATGGTTGAATCTCTGTAATAGCTGTACATTAATTTGACCATGTGTCATATTTTATTCCCATTGCTAGATTACACCAATACACTTCCTCCTTCGACATGACGCCAATGCTGATAGGGTGTAGTCAACTGCAACAGATGCTAGTTCCGAAATGTGCATACAATATTTTTATTTAAATTCTTTGATATCATAGATACCGATAGCTGTTAAACTTATTTTTTTCTCTTCACCTACGTAATGTGACATTATTACTATGTATATAGCGAGTCTTGCAGACATTCAACTTCCAAGTCACCCTGAATGACTTCAAAGAACAGTCAAGGAGCAAACAATTACAGGGAAAATTCCTCGTTAAAAATAAGTGCTTATCAATACTGATGGAATACTGGCAATGGTGATACCCGGACTCAAAAGATCAACTGTCAAGCAGAAAACTGGTGATAAAAAAAAATGTGTCCTTTAAAAAGGAATTTTCCTAGTAACAGGCAACTGGTAAGGGTCACGAGATAAATTTGGCAGCATAACGAAAAGAAATGTATAGATGATCGCACTGACAGCTGATATAATGAATTCAAAGAAAGCTCTTACCACGGCCCTACACAGTAAAGCAAAAACTAGGCGGTAAAAACAGTAAAAAAACAAGCCATCACGACCTCCACTCTTGCCTCGAATAATTCAATTGCCGAATCAGCAAAACTAAAAGCTCATACTCAGAAATTTCAATTCAATTCACCGAAACAATTTCATGTACCTTCTCTACGGCATGCAACGCAGCTCCATGACCACCAACACCAGCTCCGATGATAACAAGGTCGTAGTCGAACGATTTCGGAGGACCTCCGTTGTCAGACAACGAAGCTGAGACCTTCTTCGAGCGTCCTCGTCCTGAAACAGCAACTCTCTGAAGCTCACACCGTTTGGGCTGAGGAAATGAAAACGCTAGAGCCTCTCTTCTGAGACCACAAAAACGGATGTTCAAAGGCTTATTAGAGGACGGAGCGATTGAAGATGGTTCGAACTTGTAATTTGATCTCGCAATGGCAGTTAGGGATGAGTGAGACTGAGGTGTGGAGAGAGAAATTGAAGACTGCATTGTGGAACTGTAGAGAGAAAAATTGAGTGGAGCGAGAGAGAGGTCCGAGGAAATGCACAGGTCGTGTGGGAGAAATTGAGGCCTCGACGGGTCCGTTAAAGCCTTAAATGAGCTCGGTGGAGACGGAGATATCAAAGTGCGGCGGATGAACCACTCTCTATCATGTCATGTTGCTAATTTGCACACGTAGCGAATCGAGTTTAACTCAAGTCACTTCATTTTTGCCTGAAATTTAGGACGGATTTCACTTTTCACCTTAAAATATTTTAAATTTTTTATTTTATACTTTTAAAGATTAAAATTTTAATATGTTAAAAATGTTGTAATTTGACATTTGATTAATTTTTATTATTTTTTTATCAAAAATTAACATATTGACAATAGAAAAAACTAACAAAAAATTAATAAAAGGATAATATTACAATTATTTTTAATACATTAAATGTGTAATAAAAAAAATTAATTTTTAAAAATACAAAATAAAAAACTTAAAATTTTACACGTGCAAAATTTGCAAAGCCTTGAAATTTAACTAATAGCTGCTTGAAAAATCCAACAGCTGCTTGAAATTTTTATATTATAACTTTAATATGTTAAAAACATTGTAATTTGACCCTTTTATTAGTTTTTATTATTTTTTTGTCAAAAATTAACATATTGACAATAGAAAAAGCTAACAAAAAATTAATAGAAGGATAATAATACAATTATTTCTAATACATTAAATGTGTAATATAAAAATTTTAATTTTTAAAAATAAAAAATAAAAAACTTAAAATTTTTCACGTGCAAATTTTGCAAAGCCTTGAAATTTAACTAATAGCTGCTTGAAAAATCCAACAGCCGTTGGACTTTAAACTTATGGATTAATTCTTCCCATCCTCTTTCTATGAGTAAGAGGGTAACATTGAAAAAATATTTTAGATAATTTTTACTTAAATCTAAATTTGGATATAAAAAAATTAGGACTAGGTCACCAAACGCACACTAAATAGACTAAGGAGTTGTCTATGATAAAAATACAGTATCACAACAGTGGTAAAAATATTTATAAATGTGATAAATCACTCACAAAAGTGATTATTTTTTTTTTGTATCAAAGAAAGTTGTAAAAATAGTTACTACAACGGTGATAAAACTATCAATAACAATAATAAAAAATATTCATAAAATTGATAAATTTTTTGGTTATAAAATGATTCAAAAAAGTTTAAAAAATATTCTTTAAAATAATAAATTTTAAAATAATGTACTTTTTTAATTTTTTGGTATTTGACCAGTACGAAATTAATTAATCCCCTCACAAAAGCAACAGAACCAAAAGCGATGCTTACATGATTCCTTGGCACTCTAAATTCCAATCACAGCAGGATCGTCTAACTTTCCTTCTCTCTTACTGAAAACTTCGTTCAATAAAAAGTCTGAGAGCTAGATCGCAAATCCTGAGAAACCCAAAAAACTCAGAAGCAGAATGGAGAAAATGGGGTTGATGAGATCGCTGTATCGCTCGATTTGTCGCAGATCCCTTGGTTTCTCTACCGCCGCCGCCACTACCACCACCACAACCACCATCAACCGCCACCAACACCTTCGCCACTTGCATCTCTCCTCTCCTTCGCTGTCAATTGTCCCAAAACGTCTCCAATCTGGTACTTTCTGCCTGATCCTCTTCATATTGCAGCTCGTATAGGCATATTGTTGGTTTAATTTGATTATGAATTTGGATCCCTTTAGATGTTCGACCATATGTCTAACTGATGTTCTGACAAGTATCTCTAATCTAAGACATTCCCGCAATTTTTAATACGATCCTTTTTCCCATCGCTACCGTGATGAGATGCGAATTTGGTGCCCACTCCTCCATATCCCTACCTGTACCAGTACCAGCCTGCCAAAGCACTAGTTTAAGCCATAGCAAAAGTTTTTCACCGACCTAATTTCAATTGACATAAGAATATAGTTGTTTTTTTTTGTACTTTTGGTGTAAAGTGATGAGCAATGGCTCGAAGGAGTGGTAGTATGATGTCAAGGTTTCATTTTAGCTTTCTATAGTGGTTTTATGCTTATGCGTTGTTGAATTCAAAAGCCCAATTAGTTGTTCGCATTTATGAACTATCATTGTTCTAGCCTATAGTTGTTTGGTCCGTCTGTATCTATTTTCTTGTCTATATCAAGACACCCTTTGAATCAATTATATGCAATTTGTGTGTTGCTATGCAAACAGGCTTCTGTTGTTGTTTTGGCCCGATACTTATCTTCATCCATTTGCATGTACAAATCGCAAAACTCGCCAGTCTCGAATTTTTGTGATAACTGATAGCATCTTGTTATGATAGTTTCATTTGTTTTCTAATCTGTCTCCTGGCTTGCTTTCTTGATGGAAATAGTCTTGTTATCTTTGTCACCTCGTCCAAGTTTGAACTATCAATTATCAGTTAGTTGCTTTTTCCAAGTATAAGGATTTGATACACCAGAACATATCAGGAACATTTTTCGCATTGAAATCACAATTGGTATAGGTCTTGTCTAGAAAATTACATTGATTTCACCTTTTTAAAAAGTGACAGACGTTATTAATTTTTCAAGTATAATGTTTAGACTGTATTATTCTCTTTGGTGGGACAAATATATAGCTTAATATTATGATTTACATGATTGATATATTCTAACTGGTGAATACATTGACCATTTATTACCATATGCATCGGTATCCATACTGTTTGTGATTTGTGTTTATGTTAGACAAGGTTCAGTGAATATCTTTGCGAGACTTGGCTTTGGTGACGTGAATTATTTTTGCTATTTCTTATCCATAGATTGCCAGCCTCCTTTTGTCATGGGTGTTGGGAGTACCCGTTATTTTAGCGAAGATGTGGCCCACATGCCTGACATAAAAGACACTGATATCAGAAATGCTTTTAAGGACTTAATAGCAGCATATTGGGATGAGGTCCCACCTGCTGTTGTCTATGATGCAAAGAAGGCGTTATCTAAAAATACTGATGACAAAGCTAACCAGGAAATCTTGGCAAATGTTTTCCGAGCAGCTGAGGCAGTTGAGGAATTTTGTGGGAGGCTTGTCTCATTGAAGATGGAAATTGATGATGCTGTCGGGTTGAGTGGCGAGGTGACATAACGTGAATGAACTCAAGAACTTTTTGCTCTCTTAAGTTCGAGTAGTCTAATAATTGCATTTTTTGACAGAATGTCAAGCCCATGCCAGAAGAATTGGTGAATGCACTGCAAACTGTCTATCAACGCTATGTTACATATTTGGATGCATTTGGGCCAGATGAGGGTTATTTGAAGAAAAAAGTTGAGACTGAACTGGGAACAAAGATGATACACTTGAAGATGAGGTGCAGTGGCCTTGGATCCGAGTGGGGAAAGGTACGATGCATATCACATGGTGCTTTGATGTCAGAATGCCCTTTTCCATTAGATAGATAGCACAGTTGCTGTGTTAGTAATAACAGATGCAATTCATATCACTGCTTATGTTGTTGTGTTTTAAGCACAGTGCATTGAATGTCGTGGACACAGACAAAAATTCGACGGAGATTAACCAAAATTCCTTTTCTATTTTTGAGATCCAAAAAAAGTTCGGGATACAAATATAACTACTAGGTGAACTAATTAAGCAAGTTTTATGTATGGTTAGATTCCAATTTGGCTTATGTGATATGTACATGTTGCATGCAGGCTAGGGTATCATGTTCATTTGATTTTACTCGGGGTAAATTTTGGTGAATGAGAACCCTGTGCTTGGGAAAATCTTATCAATCTGGTCTGTTGATACCCGAGTTGATTTAATGCTACAGGTGTGAAGGCTCACCATCCCAAAAGATTTCATTGCTTTCAAGCCACTTGTGTCTGCAAGTGGCGAGTTAGTGTACATCCTAAAATCCTGTTTTGGTGTGACCACCTTCTCACTAGTATGTTGCCACAAGCATGAGTTTGCTGAAGTTAGATCTTGATGCCTTATACCATTGTGTGATATTGTGTTGCTAATAAGGGCTAGTTTTGTTGTTTGAGATTACTGAGACTGTTCGCTCTTGTATTTCCAGGTCACAGTTCTTGGGACTTCTGGACTAGCTGGTTCATACGTTGAGCAAAGAGCATAGGTCTGAAAAGGCGGCTAAAACCATCCTCCTTTCGTGTTTTCCTCCTCTGTCGCATAATGTACTGATGCTGTTACTCTTTTTAGCATAAATTCTGTTTGATGTGAGGTGTCCGCTTCTGCTAGAGCGTTTTGTTGAATTTACTCGTTGATCTAAGTTGCTCATAGCATTAGAAAAGTTATGCGAAGGATTCAGTTTCCTGAGGATTTAAATGTTTATTTGTTTCTTTGGGTTTATAATCGCTTGTGTGCCATTAAAGCTTTTATCAGTGAATAATGTAGTTCAATTATAATAAACAACAAATCAAGATGAAAAAGTTATAAGGATTTTGTGCGTACATGTACCTCTTTTTTTTGGGACTCTTGACAGATTCGCTTTATAAATGTGAATTGCTTACTTTATATTTGCTCGTTACTGCATGCTATTATGAGTACAGTTCTAGTAGATTTTATTATTCTTTGTACCTTTTATTTACCTTGTTCATCCTGGTGTATAGTAGTGTTAGAGGTTTTTGCCGGAAGCTAATTGATAAAAGTTATAAATTTTTTAGTTAATTGTAGTGGAGGTTCCTAAAATATAAAATTTATCTCATTTTGATCCTTAGTATTTCAATTGTATCATTTTTTATATTTAAAGTATTGTATATGTTTTTATGGGATTTTTCAAGCAAATAACATTCAAATTGTTAACAGTTTTTTATTATAAACTTGTCACGTGATAATTAAATATGGGTAAAAAATAATTTAGGTAGTTTTTCACAGAAAATTGTAATATAGGTAATTTTTGATCAAAATTTGGATAGTTCATGATCAAAATTGTGTACTTTGGATAATTTTTGACCAAAATTTAAGTAAAAATTTGGTCAAGAGTTATAAATATATATATATATATATATTATTTATTTATTTTTTTATATTTAGGTATATATTACGTGATAAATTTATAATAAAAAATTATTAACAATTTTGACATTGTTTGTTTGAGGGACTACGTATAAATATATTTAATACTTCATAGAATAAAATAATACAATTCAAATATTGAGAATCAAAATAAAATATACCTCATACTCTGAACATCTCTAGCGCAATTAACTCTAAATCTTTTCATAGAAACTTAAAATATGTATCTTACTCTTTAATATAATGGTCTACATTTTTTTACAGGATTCTAGCCTATCTATTTGACTTAATAAGACAAAAAAAAAAATAAAAAATAAGACATTTATTTGGATTTTAGCACACTTGAGTTTTTGACACACTCACGTCTCTTGAAATCCACGTGTGACCAACTGCTGCGTGACATAACATAATCACAATTATGTAATAATATTTAACAAGTCCCACTAAGTTAATTGGTACACTTTAAGGTCAGGGACGAAGTGGTGCAAAATATGGTAGGTGTGACATTGTTGTTATTTTAGATGACACAATCCCAAATGGATAAAGTGAGATTTATTCCAATAATTTTTTTTTTTCTAATTTCTCTCGTTTAATAATAATAAATGATTTGTGGACAAAATAATAAAAGAAGCTAGGATTGAAGATGAAGAAGGATCAAAATTTTATTTTAATGTATTATTTCAATCACTTATGTTCTGTTTGATAGGAAAGATGAAAACTATAAAAGATGAAAAGTAAAAGAAATATATTTTCTATCATTTAAGGATGAAAAATAGGAATGATGCATTTTATTCCTTTTGTATTTTGATTGGCTGAATGAAAAATGCAAATGACTAATTTTTTTTTTCTAACTAAGATTAGGGGTTATAATCGAGTCGTGTCGTGTCAGATTCGTATTGAGTCATAAAATAATGAGCTTTTTATATTTCTTGTTCGCGTATCAGGTCGTTTTCAAGTTTGTATCGAGTTAAAATAAAGTTCGTGTCGTGTCATCGTGTTGAGTTGAAAATTTTCACCCCTAATTAAGATGAAAATAATATTTTTAAAATTTTTTAATTTATTTTTAATTTTTATATTTATATTTTTAAATATATTTTTTATTTTTTTAAAAATATATATAAATACATATTTTATTATTGAATATTTATATGAAATTAATGTATATCTAATCTATAGACAAATAAAATATATCTAAATATAAATAATTAATTTTTTATCCACTTTTCTTCCGATTTTGGAGGAATTAATTTTTGTGAGTTAGAAGAAGAGTTAATTTATCAACTTTTCAATTATTCCTATTTTATTTTTTTACGAAACATGATGTTTTATTTATTCTTAAAATTTTTTATCTTTTCATTTACCAAACGGAGCATTGAGAAATGAAAATGTTTCGGCATATTTCAGAAATATTTCGATTTATTTTAATAATAAAAAAAATAAAAATTATTTCTAAAAAATATTGATGAAAATATATAAAAGTATTTTAAAATATCTTAAAAATTTTAAAATAATTATATAAATGTATTAAAATGTTATAAAATACATCAAAACATAATTCAATCACTAATTTATTTCAATTTTTTTCAAAAATTAAAACATTTAAAAAGTTTCATCTATAACGAAACAAAATTTTGATAAATAAGATGAGTTTCGTTGCGGAGCAATGAGCGCGTACAGTTTTCCCTTCTCCTGCGCAAAGCACCAAATCAGTGGTATTCCCTGTTGTTTTAAGCAAACACAAGGGTATTAAAGGAGATTCGAGCACCTAATACATGAATCAAAAGAAGGAACGGAAAAAAAAAAGGAGGAGAGAGAGAGAGATTCGAAGGTTCATGCTACGTCAATGGTTGTTAGGGTTTCCAATTGATCTCTAAGACCTAAAGCTCCAATATTTATCATCTCTCTCTCTCCTCGTCGTCAAAGCACTAATATGTGCAACTATTACAGTTGAAAAACAAACAAACAATTACAGTTGGAATTCGACTGAGAAAAAAAAATAAAAACCAAGCTGTGATGGGAGCGCCAGAGAAATCACCAAGTGCGGAATATGCGATGCAGGTGAGTTTTTCACTGTCACACAAAGGCCAAGGCTTAATAGTTTTTAATGCTTGCCGTATCGAAGCAGAGGCTCAGTGGCTTTTAGAGTCTCTCTCTTTCTCTCTTAATAGTCTTTAATTCTGTGGTTTAATTGAATTTGGGTTTTAATCTTCCTACTTTTGATGCTGCTATAGATGCTAATTTGATTCCACTTTAGAGTTAGAATGAATGTTTTTATTCGAAGGGTAAGGAATGGTTCACTTGTTTTGTTGGGTCGATTGTGACAAAATTGTTGATTTTTTTTTCACAAGACCTCCGCATTGGCACGTTAAGTGATGTGAATTGTTTTATTTTTTTTTTTTTTTTTCGTATTTGGTGTATTTTATTAGCTGAAGTATGTACTTTGTAATAAAGAGGAACCGATAGGTGCACATTGGTATTTTTCTTTTGTGTTCTCTCTGTTCATGGAGGAACAGTTCCTTGCATGAAAAGAGCAGTTTTGATGTACTCAGTACGAGCCCACTGAGGTTTTAGCAGGATTTTTATAATGTGTAGCTTCTGTCATGGACCACATGGTTATTGCAATTGAAGTTTGCAATGTGGGTAGCGAGTGGAAAATGTTGAGGATGCGGTATATGTGTATAGCATGCCTAAGGATGGATGGAGCTTGTAAACCTTCTTGTGTTTTTAATTACCATCTGTGGATTGCACGAAAGGGTTGCTAGAGTTGAAGTTTAACAAGTTGAGTAAAAAGCTACATGAAGAAACAATTTTTATAGGAAAATGGAAATTATTTACTGTAGCTATATATGCTTGCAATTGAAGTGCTAGAGGAAGTTGTTCGATGTCTATATCAATTCTTTAGGATGCTTAAAGGTTGCAAACTTTCTATAGTTTTTGATTTTGCATACATGGGTTGAATGATAAAATTGCTAGATATGGTGCTTTAAGAAAGTTGAGTCAACCTACATATGGGGCTGTTTCAATTTGACCTTTCTTCTGGTTAAGAAAACACATGTAGGATGTGGGTGTAGTTACATGCGGTTGTGGTCTAGGATATGACTTGTTGATCAGAAGGTAGTAATTGGGTGTCGGTTCTGGTTTAGGGGCATTTGGAGTAAGGATTTATTCATTAATCTATCATATGTAATTCTTCTGATAGGTATTTGGAATCTTGGATGATTTATGTCAATAAATTGTTAGTACACATGATGTTCGATCCTTCCTAAGCCAATTTCCCTCATAAAGTTGTTTTTGTGCTGACAAATACTGATCTTTTGTGGTCATTGTTGTCTTTTTGGGTTCCCTTTTCATTTTTTGAAATTTTTTGCAACTACTTAATCGGGCACAATGATCGTGGTTCATTGCCTGTTGGACAAAATATTACTTTCCATTTCCAATATGTTCAAAGATAAGTTTCTGTAGAGAACGATGGCATGGAGCGATTTGTTTTTATTTTTTGTTTTCATATTACAAACACTGGTTAGCACAGTCTGTTGTTGGAATTAAGATGCAAGTACAAGCCATCCCCCCCTTCTTTTGACTCTGTACATGCTTACTTTTTGTCATACGTCAGTTAATATGGTTGTTCTATATCATATGAATTTTTGATTGTGACTTTTTTAGGAACTTAGGATTTTAATTTTGTTGTTGTCATCATTTTTGGTTCTATTGATTCCTTACACGTATGTGACCAGTTTGTCATAACTCCATCTTATGGTGATCTCTCGTGGATTGTAGATGTGTGTGTTGTTAGATCTTTTTAGTTGCCATGAATGGAGATGTGCTTTCTTTTGTACAACATTTTTCCTAAGCATGGTGTTTTTGACACTTGGGCTGCAACATCTGCAACCGCATTTGCATGCAATTGAAGGCTTGGTGGTATAAAGAAGAGAGAGAGTGACAGAAGATAGAGAGAGGGGAATTGATGGAAGATAGTGAAGCGAGAGAAAGGGAGAAATTAAAAAAAAATTCTCATATGAAAATTGTGATAATGAAGATAAGGGATATTTTTATCATAAAGATGTTGAAAGTAACAACTATGGAGTATGGACCACATGCCGGATATTTTAAAAGCTGTGTTCTTGAGGCCTTAAAAAGCTTGTGGTTAGACCCATTAACAAAAAAGGCCAAACATTATACTTTCCATCAATTTCCACTTGTTTTTTTGGCCACACTTCAAGGCTCTTCTTTCACAGCTTTCTGGCTCCTTTTTGATTTAAATGATATGTTGACATATCCTAGTTTCTCAACACTTACCATATAAAAATCAGTTTAAACTTCGTAAAAAAATGGCTGGATATATAGTCACCAAGTGAGAATTACGAGAGTATAGGAAGCAAGCTTAATGCAATGGAAGATTATATAAGGCCAAATGGGAACTGCCTAATCAGAGTAAAGATGTAGGTATCCCGAAATAACAATTTTTAGGTGCATTCCACATGCTAGGGAGGGATGCATTCTCATATGTTTTATTGTAATTACACATCAAAAATACTTCTATATCATTATTACTAGTGTCAAACAAAGGGTGACGGGTGACCTCAATTTGTCATCTGGTTTAGGTGGGTCCCATGTCTTCAATTTTGTAATTTAAGGACCACTGTGGAGTACAAACATCCATTTCCGCCATAATGCCAGCACATTCAGTTCAGTTCATAGGGAGAAATATATTGGGAAAATTTCTATATAACTTTGTATTTGTATCATCATTCTCCAAGTTTAGGAACAATTTTGACATATTTTCCTGGCTTTTTCTGATGTTTCTTCATGATTTTGAAATCATTAATATGCTTTTCCTACATCAGCATATGCAGGCACACTTATGCATGCACAAATTCTCCCATAAGACCTTGAACTAGACTTATTCTCCCCAAAGGTTTTGAACTTGGTGTGCCATGGCTGTAATACGTCTGATCCTGTGTTAGGATTTTGGGTATGTTTGTTTATTTGTTTTTATTGCTTTTTTTGTATTGCTTCTGGTAGTTTGCTTGCCTGGATTTCTTATCCATGTTTTCTCTATTTCGACATTTTGTTCTACTATTTTCAATTTTAATTTTGCATGTCTTTATACATATATTTTTTTTCTAGCAGCACATCTTATGGAACATGCTTAGACTTGGCTTTACTCAGCCATTTGGCTGGCTCAAACTACTGACCTTATAACATTGGGACCTTGGGATGCCCTGTTGTTGTGTCCTAGAAACTAGGGTGGTGTGGACTTGTGGTACAGGTAGAAACTTCTTGTTTGCATTTTGATGTTTGTAATAATTACTTGTTTTCAGTAATGAACTCAATAAGCTTGGTTGGAAAGATTTTTTGGGGGGACTTTTCCAATTATCAATTAATGAAGCGTGTGCATTCGTGTATGCAATCTACATGGTGCGGTTCATCATTCTATATCTCTCCAATAGTAAATTAATGAAGTATGAGCATGTCCTATATGCACTCTACTTAGTGTATGTCATCATTCGATATCTGTACTGGTTGGTGGGGGTGTTTGATATTGATGCCACTTTTTCAATTCTACGTATACCTTGGACTTCATGACCAGCAAAAGTGCTTATTTTGTCCTTTTTCATTTTGAATTTCAGCGTGTTAAGGTCTATCGACTGAATGATGATGGGAAGTGGGATGACCAAGGAACTGGGCATGCCACTGTTGATTACTTGGAGGTGTGACTGTTTCGGGGGTTATGTTTGTTCAATTCTGTTATTTGTAATTTTTCAACTGTTCCTATATAAATTCTTATTTAAGAGTCGCCTTGCATTTTAACTGAATAAATACTGTCCTGCAGGGATCTGAAGAACTAGTTTTGTTTGTTCACGATGAAGAAGACAATGAAACGTTACTTTTGCACCGATTCAGCTCAGATGATATTTACCGGAAGCAAGATGGTGTTCTTTTTGATTTTCTAAGTGTATGATAAATAATATTTTATTTCTCCCAGCTTGTTGGCTGAATGTATTTCTTGTCATCAGATACAATTATAGCTTGGAGAGATCCAGAGTATTCAGCTGAACTAGCTCTTAGCTTTCAAGAGACTACTGGCTGCTCTTACATATGGTAAGCGTTATTTAATCCTCTAGTCTTTTCATTTTGCCGACTTATGATTTGTAAACGAAGGGCATATTTTGTTGTCATGTAGGGACAACATTTGCCGTGTGCAGAGGAATATGCATTTCAGTGCTCTTAACAGTAAGTGTTTGTAATAATCATTCTTCCCCTTTGGAAAAACAAGTATGGTCCTATTGAATTCCCTGCCTCTGTAAGATTTGAAGCTTGCTCTTGCTTAATGAATGCGAAATCATTATATCTGAGTTCGCAGGCAAGTCAGGTCAAGCATTTTGACCTTCTAAGTTGGTTTATAATCTAACTTGTCTTCCTTTGACTTACTCACATGATACCTCATACAGTTTGGATTTGAATCATCTATATTGGTGACTTTGATCTTAAAATGTAGGGATAGATATCTGAATAATACTTAATAGTGATTGCAACTGATTCTAACAGAAAATTTAAAATTCTGGAGGTGCCATATGTATGCTCCATTCAGCCTGGAACCCAGATTCCATGATTTATAAGGCTTGGCTCACCATTTCGCAACTACGAAGTTGGTTTGTTAGTCCCTTGGCAGCACCATGAGGTGCCTTTAGTTGTGTCTTGCATGAGATTCATTACCTTCCTATCTGCTTCGCATGCACCTCTTCGCCCATCCATTCATGGATAGTTTGAGGAGTGAGATTTGGTTGTTCCAAAATTAGAAATCACTTATGTTGAAGTACAGTTTATTGGACCCTTTTAACGTTAGTCATTCCTGATCTAGTTTCATTGGCTGTTTGATAATTTACCACTACACTTGAAGGAATGACCTGTTGTTATTCCTTACGGATCTAAATGGTTTTGAACTTGCTTGGGGGCATATGGATGTGGTTCAAACTGGACAAATATTTAGCGGGTTTTAGCTGCAGATAATTGTGTTCCTGTGATAAATGGGTTAAACACGAATATTTTTTCAAGTTTTTTGCACAAAATCCTTAACCCATGTATGTGACAAACAAGATTATGAACATTGGTGCAAATATGATCCATAGAGCCGTTTGTGACGGGGTGTTTTTATTATTTTATTTCAACCCAGAAGTGTAACTCGCATAACACTCCTAATCCATGTATCTAATCTGATATGACCTGTCTATTTAATGGGTTGCATGGATTCTTGCTTCACCACATGGAATATGCAGCCATGTGAGGGTAAGATATTTTGGCATGATTATATAATTGTGTCGTGTTTAGGTTGACCATTTCTTAGAATTTCATTTTAAGGTATGATACGAATCAACTCAACCCTACAGGATTACCACCCCTAAAGTAGTTTTTGTTTATATAAGGTTTTTAGTTCAAAGTTAGCTAAAAGGGAAAAGGAAGATGATGGTACGTATTGAACCATGAAGAAACACCCATGCATACATACACTCATGTAACACCTGGAAAGAAATAATCAGATGCAACTCATAAGAAGCTAAAGAAAAAAGCATAAAAAGAGAATGTTTTTTTTGAATTGATTGGATTTAAGGACGAATTGGCTGCTGACTGAGTGTTTGTTTACACTCATATGTTACTTGTAGCTTCGAATTTTTTTAGCCATGTGTTATGATTCATAAGAGTCAAGTGGATTGTGGTAAGTTCATGTGTAGTAGACAAGGTTGGTAGGATGATCAAATGGTTTCATTTTGAATATTGAATGGTAATTGGGTCTTTATAAATGGTTTTTGATTAGTTTATTAGGGTCCAAAATCAAGGTCTGCAAGTTTCCAAATGGGGATAATCAATATTGGTCTTGAAAATTGTGATTCATAGGGAAGATGGGATGAATGGTCTCCCAATTCAACTTCTTGGCAAAGCCCACGTCTTTTGGACCAATAATATCATCCGCATAAAACCATTTAGGGTTAAATTGCATTTATTACTCTGGTCTTCGCAAGGAACTTATTTTCGAAGGACTAGAAGAGGTCTGTCTACATGGAAAGGCTGACATGTGTTGCATAAAATTGGTCTGAATCCTTATATCATCCATATAGAAAATTGTCATTCTAAGAGTTTTTATGGTATTTCAAGTACCTTTTCTCAGGATGCCATGGATAGTTAATATTTCTTTTTGTCCTTACATCAGATGAGACATATCATAGTGTCAACAGTGAGTTGGGGGAGTTGCCCACAGTTGAGCTATCTACACTTCCTTTAATCTTGAAGGTATTATTTGCTTAAAATATTTATAATTTTTTCTTTTTTTTCCCCCCTTGGTCCTCATTGTCCCTCGGGCATGATGGATCCTGGTTGTATTCAATCTCTTGGCTCTGATCGCTTTATGATTGTTGTCGTCCCTCTTTTAGTGTACAATTCATATAAGCTGCTGGACATAAGGGATAACACTTCAACGGAATTAGATAATAAAGGGATGTTAAGTTTTTGTTTTCTGTATTAGAAGGGTTTTTTTATATTTATAAATGTCCGGCATATCTGATGACTATACTTGTGGGATATCTGATAACTATACTGTCTATACACGTGGTCTCTCCGGTAATTATTAAGTAGTAAGATAGGCACATGAATGTGATTGGAACTAATGGTATTAATTAGTAGTTTATCTGGAGATCCCCTGGAGAAGTTTTCCTTCAGCTTGCCTTTTTCTTCTTCTCCAATTTCTTCAATGATGGGTTTGTATCTTCGTAAGTACATAAAAGTTTAGTGCTTACTGGGGAACTAGCCTTCTTCTGCTGGTAGATCTTGATGGTTGACATTTCTAAGGAATCTGTATAGCATCTGTTTCTTATCAATATTATCAGGAATTTAAGTAGACTTGTATTCTTGACAATTTTTTTTGTCCTTATCAACATCTAAACTTGTTGTGATGTTATGATCTAATTTTACTCTCTGTAGTTTGCTGTCTCTCTTCTGATGAGAAATAGGGGCCTCATCTATAAACTAGTCAACTTTCAAGATATTGGTGTTAGAGATTTGATTGGCATTTGAGGTCTTTATTACTACATATCTTTACTGCTCCCCCTCGAGATGATCATGTTTCAAAGAGAAATGCTCATATTGAAGGTCATATGATCTTCAATAGCACCTCATGGGAACCGACAGTGGAAATTGTGGACAGACCATTGCTTCACTGTTTTGATTTCAATCTTTTTCATTGTTGTTATTATTCTTTGCTGCTGCTGCTGCTGCTGTTATTTCAGAGAAAAAGGGTGAGCACCGCTGAAAGGAGGGGGGGGGATGCTATCATGGATTTATTGTTTTCAGATGGCTTTCTGTCATTGCGTGCCTTCCTCTTCTTCCGGTTTATAGCTTCTCTCTCGCTCTCTCTCTCTCTCTCTCTCTCTCTTGTGTGAGAAGTCTTCCATTATACCTTTTTATAACTTTCTTTCTTAGTTTGTTGATCTTGATTAACATTGGGAAGAATTAAACAGATATCTAGTGTGCAGTGTTAAATATTGGGTGACCTTTAAGGACCTCACTCCTGTTCTTAATATTCTAGAAAGTATCAATGCTATTTCTTTCAATTTTTGGTAATATGAATTTTGATTGGTTGGCAGTATAAAGTTAATTTCTTCCTGTTGTCTTGCTGGCAGATATAGTTGGAGAAATTGTTGTATGTGTTTGATAATATCATGTTGGTGCTCCCTCATGATGATACCTCATTTCCTTACCATTGAGGTTTTTATTTTTTCATTTTCGCTTGTCTTTTTATTTCGATGTGGGCACACATATTTCGTTTGGTCTTGCAGACTGTGGCTGAGGGTGGGATTGCTGATCAGTTGCATGTGACAGAACTCATACTGCGTGATGTGAGCTTTGTTCAGTCTTTTCTGTATTTATGTAGATTATAATTTTTTCACCTATCATACAGCACTGTCATGGCTGGGAATATTTCTTTCTTGACAATTTTGTATTCAAGTATATCTATTATACTAGTGTGCCCATCATAACACAAAATATACGTTGTTGGAGATGGTTTTACCCTGTCTTTAGGTGTTACGTTGCCAACATGCTTCACAGAATGATGAATCTGATTTCCAACATCTAAAAGTTTCAATAATTTTTTGGGTCTTAAAGTTCTAAAGCATTGAATTTCGTATTAGATGAGTCAAATATTAGATTGTAATAGTTGCCTCGAGGAGCCGAGGTGGTGGCCTTACTGTTTGCCAAGGCACCTGTGCAGTAGCCTCTCACATGCCAGAATGAATTCAGGTTGTAACTTGAGATTCAATTTCTCAATCACACTAGTAGTCAATCACTGTACATGAGGACCAGTGAATGATTGCAATTGGAGTGTGTTCTGTTTGGAAAATTGAAGTTGTAGTTGGTTGTATTACAGTTTCATGGATATGTAGTGCAAAAAAGTTATTGTGTATAGATTGATTTTACAGTATTTTTTTTAATGCTTATTGCACTTTGATTGACCCATTGAAAGATTCTGTAAGTGGTGTAATTGTTATTTATTTTTCTTCATCTTTACCTTGGTCTGAACTGGGTCAAGGTCATAGTTTTTGGTCTTAGTTCTTCTTTTCTTTCACTGCATGTTTACAGAACTTGATAAAGATTTCAGATTCTTTTTAGTATGTCTCGATGGACTAATTCTGTTCCCCCCCAAAAAAAAATTAAAAAAATAAAAAACCTCCCAAAAAAGTTTGGCAACAAACAGATATGGGGATTGGGGTCCGACTGACTTTATCATTGTTTAATCCATTCAGATTGTGTCAGTTTGGTGTTCCGAAATGTAGTACTTTGAAAATAACTAAAGTGTGAGCAATCGAAGATGCTTTAGGCAACTACAGACTAGATTATTATTAACTTTGGTGTTAGATATTTCCATTGCCATTGCATGTAAGTAAATTGCTCAACAAGACAGCCACCTATGTAATGCACCCCATCAGCAAGTGTTCATTTTAAATTCTTACGGCAAAATGATGTTTGCTATACCTTGGGCTGCAAATATGGTAAATTTGTTTGATGATATAGACACAAGCACTTTTTATGTGAAAAGGGGTCTGAAAATTGTCTATTGTATTAATTTTCTAAAGTGAAGTAATGGCTGAAAATGAAGTCCATGGTTTTCTAATGTCTTAGATTGTAAACTTTCAGTGTTTGGCCTATTCTGTCTTTTCATTATTTATGTATGTGTTTGTTTTTCGTTTCTATGGTTCTCATGACAATGACTATTTCATGGCCTTGTTACTTGTAAGAATAATCACTGTGTCTTTGTAATAACAATTTAGTATTCATGCAGCAAGATTTTTTCCGGAAGCTAATGGACCTGTTTAGGATCTGTGAAGATTTGGAAAACATTGGTGGTCTTCACACGATTTTCAAAATAGTCAGAGGCATCAGTTTGTACCCTAACTTTTTGTTCTAGCTAAATATTTAGTCAATAATGTATGCTGTGAATTGGCGCACATTTTTTAGGTCTGATTGATCTGAGCGTTTGCTTACCTGCAGTATTTCTCAATAGTTCTCAGATCTTTGAGAAAATATTTGGGGATGAGTTGATTCTTGATGTTATTGGATGCCTTGAATGTAAGTTGTTTTACGTTTTGTGTCTGAAAAATCTATTTTGAGTTACACCCGTTGGTATAATTGGGTTTAAATGCTTGGATGTTTATATTTGACAATTGTGATTTTAAGCTAGTTTTAATAGCTTTAGTTCCCATACTACCTTGGTTGGTTATCTGCAGTGCCTGCCAGGGAAGTCATTGCAATGTGCATAATACAGATTACTTAATTAATTTCAAAGTTTGGTAGTTAATATTTACACTCTCCCTCTTTCTCTGTCTTCCTCTCCATCTCCCTCTCCTCCTAAAGGTTACCACTTACTACTAACCTATTTTTTATGCTTGTGACATTTAGGTGGATTATATAATCATCATTGCTTCTTATCTTATTATTCTGAGCCCCTTTGTGAGATTCAGATGCTTGTCTTTTGTCCAGATATGCCTCTTAGCTTTGAAACCCACATGACCCTAAAATAATTGGATAGGGGTTCTCAGCCATAGTAGGTGCAAATGTTTGATGCAGCTGTTGGCATGTGGTATAGATGGACACAGTTAACTTGTGTGAGGGTGTGCTTTGATAGAATAAAATGTAATGTAAATGATGTCCATAAAATTTGGGGCCCAAAGTAGAATGTAGGATGCTCCATTGAAATAAAAAGGGGTTTACTAATAGAACCCAATTTTCTGTTCAAGAATTCATGAACAGGAAGTTTCCTATTTTTTTCAATGAATTCGCTATTTGATGCTGTCCATATGCTCTTCAATTGGACTCTCTATTCCAAACATTGGTGGTACTGGAGTTTGACCTCTGGTGGAATGGGAGGCTTCAGCATCTGACAAACCCTAGTTTCTCGGCTGCAATCTACCATTTTGTCTTTCTTTTCCTTTCCTTCTTCTACCGCCTGATGTGTTAACCAGCATATTCCCCTTCTTCTACTGCATCATGTGCTAACACGCATATTCTTGTGCCCAACCCATGCCCGTATCTTTGTTCTTCCTTGTTGTTCTACGTACATATACAAAAAGCCTAACCTGGGCAATGTGGTTGGCCCCTCCTTTCCCCCTACCTTATTTAGGATCTTTTGCAAGTTATCCATCAATAAATCTATATCCAGTGAGTGCATGTTGTTGTGGTTGTTGTTTTATTGGAACATGCATATGGAACTGTGCTTTGTGATTGCCAATCTCCTTGTTGTTCATGATTTTAGCGCCTCAACAAGCTTCTAGTCAAACCAACATTTTTTTATCATATACAAAATTTTCAGTCTTGTATTTTTTTGTTCATTAGTGTCTTTGCAGCATCACTTGTGTTATGGCTGAAATTTTTCCCGAGATCTTCTGATCCTTTTTTCTGGTGATTTTCTGGCATATTAATGACGATTTACCTCTAATTGAAATGCAGATGATCCTGAGGTACCTCGTATTCATCATCGCATTATTCTAAAAGAACATGTGGTATTTAAGGAGGTAAGCATTATTGTTGCGATACGACATAGTGGAGGAAAGTTTGTTGTTTGTTGTTCAATTTTTGCTCCTCTGTGTGATTTATTCATTGGCTGGTTATGTGCATGTGTACAGGCTATACCCATTAAAGATCCTGTAGTCCTCTCGAAGATACACCAGACATACAGAGTTAGTTATCTGAAGGTAATGATCTTGAATGTAGACTGGTAGATTACTTGCTTGTGTTTGTGATGGATTTTCCTTTTGTCACCTCTGTCAGGATGTTGTTTTGCCCAGAGTAATGGATGAGGCCACAGTTGCAAATCTCAATTCCATAATATATTCAAATAATGCAAGTGTAAGATTTTTAATTCAGTTGCTCACTTGTGTAACCCAAGGCTTGTCTTTTCCATCCCTGATTATTTATTATGTTTTAGGTTGTTTCTTTGTTAAAAGATGACAGCACGTTCCTTCAGGAATTGTTTGCAAGGTTGAAATCATCTACGACTTGTGCAGAGTTGAAGAAAAATTTGGTAAATGTTCATTCTTGACTTTTCGATGTCAGCTACAGAGTCATTGGATTTTCTTGTTAGTTTGCAATCTAGAGGACATTTCTCATCCTTCGGTCAGGATGTTTTCATTTAGATGCTATGGTGTTGATTTATTGGAGAAATGGGCATCTATTTCAATTTTTGATTCCGAGGACCAAGTCAGAATCATACTCCTACATGAAATAGCATTTGCTGGTACCAATTATAGATACTGACATACTTACATTAATATGATTGCAAGTTATGTTTTCTCAGTAAACAACTTGTGATACTGTTTTTGGTTTAGCCTTCATTTTCTTGTTTGAGAAATCTGATGTGTTTTACAAAGGGCTGACCCATGGTTTTATTCATTCTAGCAGCTCACACAATGATGGATGTTCAGATATCCACATGTGAATAAGATGTTATTAGCCTTAGCTGCAGGATTATGTTTGGGTGGATGCAGCTGCATTCTTAACTACTGTGCATCAACCACTACCTTTAAAAGACAACATATCCAAATCGCATCATGGGTGAGGGTAGGGACTTGGGTTTTACTTTTTGTTGCTGACAAAACAAAAAAGGCTGTGTCACCATGTTATACAAGGTTTGTTCACCATGTTATACAAGGTTTGTTTTAGACTATCAAGCACAAGACTACATCTCCGCGAGGTTAAGTGACAAGATTATTTACTATTAAATAGTCAAAACATCTATAAATGGATGAGATGGGCTTCCGGCGTTCCTTTTTTCAAGGATTGGGAAATTTATGTGTACCTCTAAACAACCCTTGTGTATGCATACTTCTTAGACTCTTTATTATTGTAAGTTATTGCAAATTTGACCTCTCTCCTGGAAGTGTTTGTTAACAATAGATTTGGTCATGCTAACCACAAAATTTGACTAGTTCAAAGGATTTTGTTTTTCCTACTGCAACATATCTAGCTAGTGCAAATAATATAAAATGGAGGTTGTATTGGTTATACAGATGTGCATACATATATAATGGTCTTGTCGCCTGTTTCTGGAATTTTGGTGGCTGCTGTGTTGGATACCATGGTCTCCATGTCTATGTGTCTTAGTCGCAGAATGGTCAATTCAGGAATCAGGATAACCCACATGACTGGATGTTTGCTAATGTGCTTTTCAATGTGATGACCACCTTACTTTCATCAGATGCAAAACTGTCCAGAATGATAGATTGTGAGGTTTACTTCCAGTTTGAAACATAGAGCTTAGAAAGGGCCATGAACCAGCAAAGACAAAGAGAAGGGACTTGTCCTATCTTGATTGTTGCAGCTCCCATTGACCACACACAGTCGCCCTCCACACTTTCATGTCTTAATCCCTTTCCATGGTTCGGGGGTGGCACCAATTTAGGGCCCAGTGGAACAGGTTCAGGAGCCCTACTGTCAGCACACCTAACCAGTAGGAAAGGAGCATTATGGTCCACTGATGATAGATAATAGTGGCTTTACTTGACCTTTTCCAGTGCTGGAGCCATCCCTAATTCCAGTGCGGCTATGTCCATGTCCACAGTTGCCATAGTGATCTCCAGATGAAGATCCTCTGCCATCATTACATAAGCATTTCTTGCCATGTTGTCACAATTATCCTGTCCAGACACAAGGTTCTGTAACCAGTTTTATCATTTGCATCTGCCACCAGCATTTTTGGCCATGAAGTCGCCATCTCCTCCGAGCTCACCATCCAAGTATATCATTAATAACTAATCAACCTGTGCTCCAAAATCAAAGTCAGCATCGATATCCGCTACTATCAACCCCTCTCCTCCTCTCACCCTATCTATGTTCTGCACTTGTAATTTAAACTTATATGCTTTTAATCTGATCACTTTTCCTTTTTTTTTTCTCTGAAAGTTAATATGGTTCCTTCTTTTAGTTTTTGCTTTTTGGTTCTTCAATAAAGGGACAACTTAATCTTTCTGATTCTGATGTCCAATGGCAATGCCATATGTCTTCATCCTATGTGCAAACCTTTTTTCAAGATAATCTTTTGGATATGAAATTAAAAAGTCAATAACCAAGTAAAGGATGCCAAAAATCCTCCGGACACCGCAATTGAATTGTCAAACAGACTTCTACTATTGTCGCCATCGTTGACAAGTTCTTTCCCTGCCACCATCGCACCTGCATCTAGGGTAAATTCCTTCCGCCTATAGAAGTTACAGCTGTCTTGAGCTAGGCGTCTGTGCATGGTTACCATCTTCTAAAGCATTCTCTTGTGAAGCTCCTTTGATTGTGGCTGCCAGTTGCAGTCTTCCTTTTTGTTCCTTTTTTATTGCCTGCTGGTTGCCAATGATTGTGAATCTGTTTATTGGTTTGTTTGTTTTAAAATGAAACTAGGTACATTTTTTGCACGAGTTTTGTTGTCTAAGCAAGAGCTTGCAGATGGTCCAGCAACCCCGGCTATTTAGGTATGCATTACACATATTATAAGTTTTAGTTTGAACTTGACTTGTCTGTAGAAAAAAAATTGGTGTATGGACTGCTTTATTTCTTATATGTTTCGTATTTATGATTTCACTTTTGTATTTTAATAGAAGGAAATTTATTTATTTATTTATTTTTACGCCTGTAGGGATCTTGTGAGTGAGGGCATCTTTGGCGTCATTGCTGAAGTTTTGCAGAGTCAAGATAAAAAGCTTGTGTTAACTGGGTAATGAATCAGATTGTCACATTGTGATATGTAGTCTGTTTATTTTGCTGTGATTTATTACCTCTACCCCCTCTTTTCCCTCTGCGTTGGTGGCATAATGATATGGTCCTTATGGTATGCGATTGTAATGGATGCAGGACAGACATCCTTGTTCTTTTCCTCAACCAGGATCCGAATCTTCTGCGTTCTTATGTCACTCGGCCGGAAGGTGTTCCTCTTCTTGGACTCCTGGTACATAACTCGTTGGACCTTTTTTCATATAGATTATTAGTTTCAAGATAGCGCGTCTATCAATTTTCAATTGGGTGTACCCATTTAAGCTGATAAGAATGAAGGTAAGATTAGAAATTCTATAATGTTTTCTATAACAAAGAATAAATTCTATTTTATTAGATCGAATATCAAACAGATTCTACATAAAGAGCGTAGTGACATCTAAGAATTAATTTTCAATCTTCATAATCCCTGCTGCCCTCTCCCCAAGCCCCCACCCCCACCTCTGCTTCCGCCACCAAACTGATCCTAGAAGTACGCAAGTAGGGTTGTGACAAGCATATTCGCAGAAGTTCAAGGAAACACAAATGCACCACTAATATGTTCCAACTCAGCAAAACATGGATGTGGGACAAACAGTCTTAAAAATGGTCTTTTGGATTATAAAATTAGCATCTTATTTGTTACTAGCTCTAGTGGAATATCTTATCTCTGTATCTTCTCCTCTGTACTGTTGCTTTCCTTTGATGTTGCTTTTCTGTTGATCAATAAGGGGTTTCCATCATTGTCTATGATTATCATATTGACTCTTCTAACTTCTAATGATATGTATCTCCCCTCCCTCCTATGTATCTAACCAGATTTCACCTAAACTACTGTCCTTCAGGGTCCTCCCCATCTGCTTTTATCATTGTGAAACTGCTACAAAATACAGCATACTGTCTCCAGCTCGCAGCACTGCAAAACTTACTAGAACGGAGGTCTTAGCCACTTTATGAGCTGCAATGTATTTTTATTTGGGAAAAAAAAAAAGCGATGATACCAGACATCATATATGACAGAAGTTTGGGAAAAAAAATAACAATGATACCAGACATCATATAACAAGAAGAAGTTGTTTTAGCTAGGGAAGGATTGCAAAAGAATCGGGGGAGGTGATGAGGTGATGCTGAGTGTACATGCACAGAAGAGAGAGTTAATCACCTGTCTTTCAATTGTAGTGCTTTAATGGTCAGTGGAGGGGCAATTAGGAGTGTGCAATGTGGTTGTTTTATGAAGAAGGGTTTTTTTTTGGGTAGCTTGTGGACTATTTGGAAAGAGCCATTTGAAGGGGTGGAGTTGCCAATGTCCTCAAAGATGTCTTATTGAATTTTTTTATCTTTTGGATGATTGGGGTCCTCTGATTTCTTTGGTGGTTGTAGTTCTCTGGACTTACTAGGTTTTTTGATGCTCTATTATGCTGGTGCAGCCCCAATAGGTAGATTTTGATGATACTTATTCCCCAAAAAGACGGGGGTCGCGTGAGATTGTGAATAGCCATATGCTTGCCAAATTGTATAATATTATTTTTATTACTATTGTTACCGTTACCCTTAATATTGTTATTATTGAGGATGAAATTTAATTGAGCTTTGGGTGTCCACTTTATAGCAGCGCCAGGATTATTACAGACAATAACTGCATTTCATCTTTTTACATGTGGTATTTCTGTCATCTTGTCTAGTGTTCCAATATCAATTGTTGATTAGGTGAAGCTTATTTTTCATCATAGGTTACTCCAAAAATGCATGTTCTGTTGGTATGTTTAGAGTAAATATTATGGCTCTTTTTCTTGTGATGTGTGCCTATGCACCCATATGTAGTGTGTTTTTTTGTCTTCTCATGGTATGTGGTTTGGGTAAAAGAAATATCCTCTTCACATATGGTGGTAAGATTGCTTATATCTAACCCTTTCTATGGTGTTAGTCTCGTGCACTAAACTGTTTTTTTTAATATATCCTTGTCACTGTTATTTTGTATTAGATATCTTAACTATGTGGGCTTATTTAGATATTTATTGCTACTGATTACTGATTATTGGTCTTCAGTTTTTTAAAATGAGTTTAGTTGGTTGGGTTTTGGATTAGTTTAGGTGGTTTATTTTTTCTATTTCCTCTACATTCGAAAGCAGTAAATGATATTGTGATTGTACAATTGCAGGTAAAAGGTATGATAACAGATTTTGGGGATGATATGCATTGCCAATTTCTTGAAATTCTTCGAAGTCTTTTGGATTCATTTACAGCAGGATCCCAGGTGCATTGTTTATTAGTTTTGCATGATTAACTCTCTTAACTGGCAACTGAAATTCCTATAGAAATTCTGAAGTTTCCTTTACTGTTGTTTTGTGCATGCGAGTTGCTGGCACGGTTACGATTTTCACATCAAGGATTAGGATATATATATATATATATATATATATATATTCGTATTTTAGTTATGCTGGGAAACTGGGGCTGGCAGCAAGCTAAGCCGGGCTTTGTTGGAGTAGATCTGATTTAAATGGAAGTGAGCTCAATGATTGGGTTTATAACAAGAGTTGAAGTTCAGTTTTTGAAGGCTTATTCATAGGCATAATAAAGCATAGTTGGCAACTTGAATATCATATTATGTATGTAAAAATTAAAATTATGAGAAAATAGGTAATCCATTATGAGAAGCTGTCTGATTGGTCTACCCCTTACAGGTTTGGATATTATGGAAATCACACAATAAGTGTCCATTATAGTAAATGAATTGAAGAACATCTTTTTATTCATCATTAGTAGGTCTCTCTTCATTTTTTTTCTTCTTATTTTTTTTGATCTTTAGACTCTGGATTTTGTGTGAGCGTACATGTGCATGTGTGTGTGTGTGTAAGGGAGAGGTATCTCGGTTAGAGAAGCTTTTTAACTGGGAGGCAGGGAGGGAAAGAGGAAAGGACAATAAGAAAGTAAATATTTTTTGTAAGGACATGGAATATCAAAATTTACAGCTTGATATATTCTTTTAAGATACTATGATTTATTATTAATGGATCCAAATGAATATAATTCATTCTAGGTACCCTAATATGTTGATTGATTTATCCCTAGTGATGCGTTGAAGTACTGTGTAGTGTTTACTGGTCAAAACATTTTGTTTGAGGCATTATTTTCTTCTTATGTCATATGTTGGATTTGGACTTCAGATCTGGATTGGTTTGCCCTGAAATTATAAATATGTATTGGGTCCTACCAATTACTGTACCAATTGGGTGACTTGGGCTCTGGAATTGATGATTTTCTTTGCTTCAGCTAAACTATCGTTTTAAGATAAAAGAGTTATACACCTCTTTATGGTATCTAGGGTGAAATTTCCGTGAGCTCTAGAGGGTTCATTTATTGTATTTCATGTAATTTTGGCATTTTATATCAGTGAAAAAAGATTACTGCCAGAAAAATGAAATGATTTGGTACATATCATGGTCAATTTGATTACTTCTTTTTTGAAGCATTTTTTATTTATTTATCTGGCGGAAGGGGGGTTACTCTGTGAGAAAGCACTTGTAATTTTGAACTGCATGAGCTCTCCCATTTTTAGGCATTCTAGTTTTCATTCTATTGATCTTCTTTGCTTGAATAATGAACACTAATGCTTTGGTTCCTGCTCAACTTTAAGCACAACTTGCTCAATATTTTAAATAAAAAGTAGCTTTTCCTTGTTTGGTAGGGTAGGCCGGATGTTTACATGTCCTTTTTTTCCTTTATTTAATTCTTCTCCGAGGTAAAACAATCTTGACTCATTTTTTATGTGTGGCTGCGAATCATATACCTATTGATTGCACTTCTAGTTACTTCTTGTGTTTTGTTCCCCAAAAGCTAATCAAATCTTGAAGGAATCATAACTAAAATTAAAGCTGGTTCTCTTCACTCTCTATCTATGTACATATACTAAACATCACATGAAAACAAAAATTTGAAATTGGTGACTAGCTTCAGTGATGAATCGATCTCCACTTTAAAGTACGTTTGGCATATTATGGAGTCATATCATCAATTAATCCGCTTAAAAAACTGATTCTTGTTAGTTGTTGTGAAGACCTATTTATTTCCCCTCTAAGTTGTCATCTTTCTGTTCTCTATACAATTCATTGGTGCTGTAGATGGCTAACTACCCATTGATTATTTTACTACTTCTAGAGCCATGTTTTGTGCTATTTGTGCATTTTGAATCAACTTATTTTGGTTAGTTTATGCAGAGTCGCAGACTTATATATCATTTTGATTTCTTGTTTGTATTTATATACTTACTGCTAGATTGTTGTAATAAACTAATGGTAAAGTGCGATGTGAGATTGAATTATTTTGATATTTTGTGGTCCTAAATTGTAGTTCTCTAGGAATCATGAAGATATCTTATGTTTTGATCCCTTTTAATGTCATTGCAGAGAGATACAATTGTTGACGTTTTCTATGAGAAGCACTTGGGTCAATTAATTGATGTTATAACATCATCATGCCCTCCTAATGGTGCTGCTCAAGTGGTCAGTAAATCTTCAGGCTCTGATGGGGGCATTGAGAGTCATACCAGTGCGAAGCCCGAAATACTTCTGAACATATGTGATCTCCTGTGCTTTTGTGTTTTGCACCATCCACACAGAATAAAGTAATTTATGGGGTGCTTGTATGTTTATTTGATTTTAATATGTTCCACCTAGAATTTGATGTTTAAATGCGTCTTTCTTTTTGGGTTTGCAGGGGCAGTTTTGTGCTCAATAATTTGGTAGATAAAGTCTTATTTCTGACTTGTAGAAGGGAAAAGTACCTTGTACTTGCTGCAATTCGATTCATCCGAACTCTTATTGCCCGCAATGTATGTGATTCTATTTGATCATTGGAGAGAGAAATTGGTGTATTGGCATAATTAGAATTCAAGTTCTCATGATAGACAAACAATCACATATTGATTTGTGCTGCAATTGTGCTCTTGACTTATTTGTTTACAGAACAATGGACATTTTAAAGTACGAGGAATTAATTGTTTTCCTAAGAAACAACACTAATTAGAAAATATGATGGGCAAATTGGTGACCAATCACCAGGTGAAACAGTTGTAACTGCCATCTATGGTTAGTTATAGTAGTTGCGCACTTCCTTACCTTGTTCTAAAGTTTTATTAGCTTAGGTTGCGTACCCATAAATCTAGGGGGGGCTCTTTTTTCATCTTTTTTTTCTTCCTGGATCAGTTATCTATTTGGAGTATCTTTTCTTGCATTTTATGCTTGATTTAGGTATCTTTCTATGATGTTTTGCAGGACGAGCATCTAATGAATCATGTTGTGAAGAACAACCTTTTGAGACCAGTTGTGGATTGTTTTGTTGCCAATGGCAATCGTTACAATCTTTTGAATTCTGCTGTTTTGGAACTTTTTGAACATATCTGGAAGGTGCTTATACCTTGTTACACGTTCCTTGTCTTGCTTGTGAGATGGATATAGCTGGATGTTTTTATTTTGTTCCCTTCTGGGTTTGTTTCATGCAGGAGAACTTGAAGATATTAATCACATATTTGGTTGATTCTTTCTGGGATCAGCTGGTCAAATTTGAGAATTTGTCTTCCATTCACTCTCTAAAGGTTAAATATGAGCAGGTATGCTGAATCTGTTTCTTATTTCTTTTTCGTACAATTTGAGCCTGGGAAATCTGTTTTTGATCAGCGCATTTGCAGTCCCTTGACAGCTTGGGAACGGAAAGTGCCATTGATGTCATAGATTCTAGAAAACGAATAGACGAACGTGCGCTTGAGAAAGAAGAAGAAGATTACTTCAATGAGAACAGGTGTGTTTAAAATAAAATCTTTGCCTATTGTTTTTCAGCCAATAGCCACTGAATCTGGAAACTTAAATATAGTGATGAAGAAGATTCAGCATCAGTTTCTTTGCCTGATACCAGTAGAGTACAAGCTAAGCCTGTTTTACCCAATGGATCTGCTGCAAGCTACTCATCTTTAAGGTTTTTTGATATTCTCTATTACAACATCCATTTACGACGCTTTGGTGATCTATGATTCTATAATATACTTTGTGCTGATTTTCACTGTACTGCTGAAGATCTGGTGGACTCGTTGATTATGATGACGACGAAGATGATGAAGACTACAAGCCACCGCCTAGCAAACAGTCAGATATTTCTGGTGAAGAGGAGGGAACAGTAGAGTCCTTCAATAGGTTGAAACGGAAGTTGGCTTCAAAGGAGGAGCCTGAGTTGATAAAGAAGCAGCGGTTAGGTAAAAACATGAAGTCAAATTGTAGTGTATTTGCTGCCTTGCGCTCAACTTTAAGTCAGACAGTTTTACCCAATAAAAACACAGCAGCAGCTGTGCATATTTTTCCCCGTTCCTCAGACGTGACCAAGATGTCTGATGAAGGAAATCACGATGAGAATGGATCTATAAGCTGTTCTGATAAGAGTAGCAGTATAGAGGAGGAAAACCATAGAGACAAGGAATCAGCTGCTCCTAGGAACTGTTCTGATAGCTTGCATAACACTTTGGAAAATGAACAGCGGGGTTCCCAAATTAGCAGTTTAGAGGAGGAAAACCGTACAGACAACAAATCAGCTGCTCCTAAAAACTGTTATGAAAGTTTGCACAACACTTCAGAAAAATAAACAGCAGGTTGGAGATGACTCTCCATTGATACCACCAAAATCCTCATTGGACATGGCTGTACATGGAGTCTAAGTAGTTTTTTGGTATCATGTTCAGCCTATTGACTTATTCTATCATGCGTTATATTAGCCCTCATACCTTCTAGGTGGCACAACGGGGAAAAAGGTTTCCATTAGCTGACCCCAAAAAAGTTGGGACGAGGCTTAGTTGGAGTTGTACAGTCTTGGTAGCAATCAGCCCAGTGGTTATAGATGGCACTCGGCCTTGTGATACTGATGAACTTTCTATGGTGAAGGTAGCAATCAGCCTTGTGGTACAAATGGAACTTTCTACAGTGAAAGCACTAATCCAACGAACCAGGAATAACTGGTAATGGCATCTATCAATTCTTGAAGAGGATATACTGCACAGTGCCACTAGAAGCACGGGGAGAAATTTATGCTCAAGAGACTTCCCCTTTGTTTAGTCTTTCTGATGCCGTTAAGCTGAGTAATTATTTGCTAATTTGAAACATTCACTTGCAAAAGTTTTTCTTTTTCCAATTCTCCTGTGCTTATGTTTTTCCCATCTTACTTTTTTGATCTTGAAATTATCTTTTATATATAGACTGGCCATCGATGTTGCTCTACGTAATCATATTTCTGCAATATTTGTGGTGGGTTTTGGGGTGTACTGAGAGAAAGGCTTGTGAATTGGTTTGAGGTCGAATAGCGGAGAATTTCGGAGCCTTGTAATCTAATCATAAGCTCCTGTACATTATAATTTTGAAGGAGGAAGTTAGAACTTTATACCAAACTCAATAATTGTCCAAGTCCATTTCAGTTTGCTCTATAAACAAAAGTTGTTTGTTTTTGGGTCTCCTTTATAGCAGTGTATGCAATTTGATTGCCTTGCAGATTCATAAGAGGGATGAATTTGTTTAGTATATTGTATGCCTTGTTATTTATTTAGAACAATCACATTCCATCTCTCTCTCATTCTCTCTCCTTGTCTCGCTGGTAGTTTCAAAGTTACGAAAAGTAATTGCTTTGTTACCCCTTTGTGGTTTTTTTTTTTTGGGTCAAGGAAGGAAAAGAGACTCTCAAAGTTTTGACGTGGTATTTAGTTGTGTTTCTATTGAATGGTAAAATCATGTGGTGGGGATTATGTGGTATTACAGTTGCATTCATCGTTTTCTAGGGTATAACAATTTTTTATACTACACTAACCTGTTAAAAAAAAAACCTCAACCTTAGTGCCATTCTGACATGACAATAATTTTCCACGTTGGCAAATATTTCACACTTGTTTTTTTATTTTTTTTGGGAAGGGGGGGCCGGGGGGGACCTCAAAGAAATTCGGCAATATTGATAACATAATACTAGCACTATTTTGGTTAAGTAAATTTGATAATTAGTATCATTGGATTAGTAAGAACTCTATTCGATCTTAAAATTCATGGGTAACATGTATTAAGTCTCAAAATTCAATAATTTTTTTTAAAATGATTATGAGACCGTAGGTCCGTGGATAGACGGGCCAAAAATAGAAGCTAAAAAAGAGTAACGTTCGGTTAAAAAGTAAAACCCAAATCAATAAAACGAACACGTCTCTATACGGGGTTGGGTTTTCCTCTTTCGACTTAACAAAAAATCAGTGTTTTAAAACCCAGCCCAACCCAGCCCAGAGGGTTGACCTGGTGAACTAGATTCTGAACCGGGCCAATTTAGGTATTAGATTGTTTGAGTAAAAGAAATGGTAAAAACTCGAAGAATCGGCTGATTTTCTAATAAACCCATTAATCCGGATGGGTTAAATCAAACCGAGTTTCATTCAAAGCTATAATTCTAGGGCACTTTTGCCCAAATATTAATTTTTTTTTAATGCCCTGTAGGGGTGTTCACTCTACCCTACGGGTAGAAAATATGTTCTTCCGTCTTTCTACCTGATACTTTGCAGAAGAGTTTTTTCTTGGCCTACCCTATCCGACAGATGTGGTATTCCTACCCGATTAAATAACATACACCAATTTAACAACACAATAAATCAATTAACACTAAAATCTAAAACAACTACAACAAGAATTATAATAAAACACAAAAAAAATATGAATATCAATCCACCATAATTGTTACACAAATACAATAACAATTAATTTAAGTTTAAACTTTAAACCATATGAAATACATTAAAATCATAATTGCTCCGCTAGGGGTTTAGGGTTTTTTTTAGTTTATATATATATATTATTGCGGGTAGGATTGGGGTAGGAATGCAGAAATGGATGGCAATTCCGCATTCCTACCCAAAAATTGTTGAAAGACCAAAATTTTTTTCATTCCTATTCGATTTTTGCAGCTAGCAGTTCAGTAAGGTAGGATAAGATTGAGTAAGGTAAAAACTTGCGGCCGGTCGAAAATTTGAACACCCCTAAAGCTCTGGTTCTTCGACGAGCGTCTCTCTCTTTCTCTATGTTCGCTATGTAGTCAACTTACGCCTCGTCGCCTTAGCAACAAATCACTCACCCCAATTGAACTATTGATCAAAATTAAAGTACTCATATCTCAAATCTCAAATTCATTCAACTCTTTGATTCATTTATCTCAAACAGCAGATCTTCGAAACTTTGACTCACTGGCCATGACAGATCTTCATCCTTCTCTCTCAGTATCAAGTATATATTACGTTTCTCTCTCTCTCTCTCTACAATCTGCCTTTATATTTTTATTTGTAATTGTACTATTATTTGACTTGAAGATTCATTCGGCTCTTATATTATGCTATTAGTTGATTTGTATATGTAATTTTGTAATTGATTATGCTATTTGGTGTTAGAATTTTGGAAGTGTTGGAGCTGAACAGATTTTTTAAGAGCAAATTTAAAAATAAATAAAAAATCCTTTGTATTGTTGTAAATTATAATGCATATGCTTGAATGTAGATGAAAAATATTGAATCACATTCATATTAGTTATTTGATATTGGATGCATGTTTAATAATTTTGGGGTTTTTGTTTGATTTGATTACATTAAGCATGTTATTTAACTTATTTTTATAATTATTGTAATTTTTTAACTTATTTATTATTTTTTATTGTTTGATCGACCAGTGATTCGGTCAAATCAATTACCCATTAACCCGATTTTTTTTTTCGGGTTGATGACCGAGCCGGTTTTTAAAACTAACCTTTCGCATTCACCGCCTTTGGATTGGGGTTTATACAAGAAGGCGTTTTTTATGGGTTGATTGATACCCATAAAGCTAAGATCGAGATCTCTCTCTCTCTCATAAGCCGTTGACGGTTTCTCTCTGTGAATCAGTTCTAGCTCACAAGTTTGATTCGATCTGAGCTAGGTATGTATCCTTGTTCCAGATCAAGCTCTTTAAACCCTTCAATTACTTCTCTGCAATTGCATTAGTTAGTATATATGAATTTATATGTAATCCGTTCAAAATAAAACAAAGAATTCATATGTAGTCGTGTAATCTCGATTGTGACAATAAGATCAGTTTATTGCTTTAGGTTGATTAGGAATAAAGTTTCATTTATGATGTTTATGAATTTGGTTTTTAAGGGTTGATGACTTTTTGTGCAGTGATTATTTTTTCCAGTAGCTAAGGTTAGGGTTCAGTTTCATTATTTTTCCCCTCACAGGAAAAAATAAAAAATAAAACGTAATGGTTTTGTGTCTGAAGTGAATTTGGATTTTAGGGTTTGATGTTTTTTTTCCTTCTGCTGTTATCATCTTTTCATATACTTACTCTTAGGGTTCAGTTGCAGTATTTCTTTTCCTTCACGGAATTATAATAAAATAAAATGAAATCTTATTCTTTAATTGATTTTGCATTTCCAATAAATTCTGGGTTTGTTGATGTTATATATTATCATCTGACAATGTTGCATTTTTAGGAAGGGAATGCTTTTGTTGCTGAGGATTGTGAGTTTAGATGAAATAATCTGATTTATTGATTCGTTGCATGTTTTGAAGTTGTTGGTATGGTTGAATGTAAGGGTGTGTATTTTTTCCTTTCTTAAATATGATTTTCAGTTAGCCTTAGTTCTATGCCTGCTAAAAGCTGCATATAGTTTTAGATGGTACATAACAGGAATATTTGTTTGGCTCTGTTCTGCTTTTATGTGATCTAGATGGTAATATAGATGGTTTGCACTTCCTGTTTACTTCTTTTAATCTTTTTAGGTAGCAATGAAAATTTATGACAAAGGGCGTGGCTTCATTATGTGTTTTGAATTCAGGTTCGCTTAAGTTGGTGGCTACTTGAAATTGAGGACCAGGGCATTTTGGGAGGTTGAATAACTAACTAGGAACATGTCTTCAAGTAAGAAAGAAGAGACAGGTACTCAGGATGCTACAGAAAGAATTAAGGCTGCTGCCTTGTCAGCAGCAAAAGGTCTTAGCCGGGCTCAGGCTGAAAGGGCAGCTGCAGCTGCAGTTCGAAATGTGAATGCATATGGGCAGAAGGAAGAAGGGCCCAGTAGATGGCAGGAGAGAAAAGAAGCAAAGAGGCAGATGTATCTGATGAGTACTGAGAAACAAGTAAGATTGGGTGAAAGGAAGGACCTCAAGTCCTCAATGTCTACCATTAAAACAGCTTCACAATGTCAGAAGTGCTTCCAAAGTGGACACTGGACATACGAGTGCAAGAATGAAAGGGTTTATATTGCACGGCCTTCTCGTAGCCAGCAACTGAAAAACCCGAAATTGAGGATGGAGTTTAAGATCTCCTACGATGGTAACCCTGATATTGAAAAGGAGGCAAAAGTTGAGAAACGTACAAAGAAAAGTAAAAGGAAGCATAAGTCAGATACTGAATCTGATAGTGACAGTGAAGCTTCAGTGTTTGAGTCTGACAGTGGCACGTCATCGGTCACGGGATCAGATAACTCTTCTGGGGAAAGTGACTCGAGTTATAGTTCATCTGATTCAGAGGAGGAGAGGAGGAGGAGGAAGAAGAAGAAACAGAAGAAGCAAAGGACGAGGCGGCATAGAAGATACAGCTCAACATCTGAGTCTTCTGATTCCTATTCTGAGTCTGAATCTGATTCTGAGGATAGGAGGAGCAGCCGGAAGAAGAGTAAGAGGCATAGCAGAAGGCACTAAAGAAGCGTATGGAGCAACTTGTGGTACAATATCTGTTTTCTCATAATCTGGCATTTTATGGTTAAGTTTATGGAGCGTGTGATGTGGAAGTTTCTAGTACGAAGGCAATGGACACTTGAGAAAATGGTCTTTTAAATAAGTGTAGTAGATGCTTAATATTTGAATTTTTCCAATATGCAGTTGTATTTCAGCAACTATAATTTTGCTGTTAAAATTTGAGATCTTGAATAGTTGGTACTTTTTGTTATACCTGTTTAGTTATTTTTTTGCTACTTGTGCAAGTAATGTTTAACACTGCTCACGGTTGATCTTTGCCGTGACATGGTATCACCGTTGCATTCAATATTTTCTCTTCGTTTAGGGTATTGGTGCATGTAGTAATTCGGAATTCTCTCTCTCTCTCTCTCTCTCTCTCTCTCTCTGATATCAAGTGCAATTTGATTGACTACATTTCAGATCCGGTGGTCATTGTTGGTGTTGTATCAACGCCATTGCCTAGTCCTTGTAGGGGTTGATCATCTGTGTTTTTGATGTTAGATGCTTGGGTTGCAGTGTGGGGAGACGGTCAAAGGATTTGTATGAAGCAGTTTGCTGCACTGACAGCCAAGTAATAATTTCCCTCAACAATTTTCTTCATTTGTTTTGTAAATTTTGGATTAATATTCTCTGCCCATAGGTGGTGATTCAAATTCGACTTGTTTTGATGGACAAGAACCAATGAAACAGTCAATAGTAGAGTGTGGCGGAAAATTTTCCCAGCAGCGGATTTTTCTTTTCTTTTTTTTTTTCTCTTTTCAAGCAAAAGAAAGTAGAGGTGGCAAATGGACGGGGTTGGGTTAGTTCAATAAGGGTTGGGTGTAAAATAAATTTAATCTATGTTCAACTTTTTTAATAAATGGGTTACAAAACAATTAAATCTCGTAATATTTTTTTTAAAAAAAGAGAATTTTATTGAATGAATCAAAAAATTACACGAATCAAAGAAGGAAATAAATCTTCAATCCCATTTACATCACAACCTCTAGGCTTTAATCCGTCAAAATGCCCTACTGCCAATAGCATTACAAGAAGGTTCCTTCAAATCTCTCATACCAGCAGCCCCTTCAATACCAACAGCAGCTTCGGGTACACCATTCAGCAGCTGCTTATCCTTCGTCATCAAAAACCAGAATCCTCCTGGTCCTAAAACTGGTAGTCTCGTCTGGTCCTGCAGCAACATAAATTTCACAGCAGCAGGTAGCTGCATCGAACAAGAGAAATGAGAAGAGCCTCTATCCACCACAGCCCTATTTGCCAAACAGTCTGCCACACAATTGGCTTACCTATAAGCATGCACCAAGTGATAATTCATTCTGCTAATTTGAACACACGCTAATACACTAAAATACACACATTAATACACTAAAAATGCACACACTAATATACTAAAAATACACACATATATTAACATATAGAAAACACATTTAATAAAAAAAATTAAAATTAAAATACACACATACACTTTTCACCAAAATACACATAATGAGTTGGGTCATGGGTGGGCGTGTTTGGTGTACTAGTGTGCGTGTTGTGATGTATTAGTGTATGTGTGTATTTTTTAGTGTATTAATATGTGTACGTATTTTTTTAATATATTAGCATATTTATTTAGTTTTACTAATTATGTTATTTAATAGAAAAATAAATATTCAATCCAATGGGTACCCATTTGTAATTCATTTCAATCCGTTTAATTAAAATAAATCATATTATTTAACCATTTAGAACACGTATTAATTAATATAAATATCCAATTTATTTATTTATGGACGGATTGAAGGAGTTAATGAATTAAGATTGTCATCTCTAATCAAGAGTATGTCTACCTAATCCCCCCAACAACACAAATAAATCTATGTTAACACAAGTCCCATGTAATTATGTCTCTATCTCACTAATTAATTACTGTTCATTTATTTATTTATTTTTTTGAAAAATCAGTCATTAATTTAAAATTTTGTAAAAACATCATTTCACCAACCATTATTTTTCAAAATTATTTTAATATCCAAATTTTTTTATCTAACCTTTCAAATATTATGTTGATAATAAATAAAAAAAGAAAGGGGAGGAGGACGGAGAGGGAAAAGTCTGTGCGTAAATATTCCCTATAGGACCGCCACAAGAAATAATGAATGCCAAAGAGATAGGGGCAAAAATGTGGCTGCTGGGATTCGAGCCCAGGTCTCCACGGCCACAACGTGGAATTCTTACCACTAAACTACAGCCACTTTGTTTTAAGCTTATTTACCTTTTATACTCTTATGTTAAATATATTGAATTTATTACACACTTCACCCACATGTTAGACGCAGCTCTTTTTCTTTGTATCCAATTTAACAACAAATTTGAATGGAAGTGCCACATTGATACAAATATTATAATTTAGGGGTTAACTTGACACAAAACGTAACTCAGGGACTTGATTGATATAAATATTATAGTTCAAGGGCTACTTTGACATAAAACGTAATTTAGAGACTTGATTGATATAAATGATATAATTTAGGGATCAATTAGATTATTAATTCTTTTTTTTTTTTAGAATTACACTCAGATCCTCTGAGAATTGTCACTTAATCACTCGGACCTTTTGACATTTGAAATATTACACACAGACCTCCTAAGGTTTGTACATGAGTAATACTTAGACTCCTGTTTGTAAATATATCGGTTAATAAATTGTACTTAGATTCTCCTAAAGTTTGTGAGTATATAGACCCTTTAAATTTAAAATATTATACTTAGACAAAAAATATTTCAATCAAATATAAAATATAAAATATTTTAAATTTTATAACCAAAATTTATGTTATATTATATCATTTATTGAAATAAAATTATAAAAAAAATTCAATTTTTTCTAAAAAAAAATTCAATTTTTTCTTAAAAAATTATAATTAGTGTACAATTATATTGTCTATTAGAATTTAATTTAATCATTTAAAAGACAAATTAAAATATCAAACTACCCAAATTAAATCTAAAAGATATTTGTCCATTACAATTTGATTTTTTATTTAATTTTTTAGTTTTATTCTAATAGACAGTATAAATATATATTAACTATGTTTTTGTTAAAAAAAATAATTTTTTTTGATTTTATTTCAATAAATAACATAATAAAACATGAATTTTGGATGTAAAATTCATGTTTTATTATGAATAACTTAGACCTATTGTTTGATTTTTTTAGTTTTATTCCAATAGATAGAATAATTGTATACTAATTACGATTTTTTTTTAAAAAAAGTTAAAATTTTATTTTAATAAATGATACATTAAAATATGAATTTTAGTTGTAAAATTTAAAATATTTTATATTTTATATTTGATTGAAATATTTTTGGTCTAAGTATAATATTTTAAATTTAAAGGGTGTAATTATTATATACTTACAAACTTTAGAGGAGTCTAAGTATAATTTATTAATAGATATATTTACAACAGGAGTCTAAGTGTTACGCACGTACAAACTTCAGAGGGTTTGTGAGTAATATTTTAAATGTCAGGGTCTAAGTGATTAAATAACAAATATCAAAAAGTTTAAGTATAATCCCCCATTCTTTTTTTTTTTAAATGTGGCAGTGGCCAACAAGAGTACACCAACTTCTTTTTCATTGCCTCGCTGAAATACATGACTTGTGGACTTTAATGGCCCAAATTGCGGCCAACCTGGAATGGATTAACATGCTTATATATTATTTATTATAGTAAAGATGCCAATGCATGCACCTGAACATAAAATGATGACGTCAATGTTCTCTTCCCTATTTCTTTCTTTTTTTTTTGAAAATGTTCTATTCCTATTTCACAAAATTAGTTTGTGAATCTAATTAAATTTATTTTATTTTATAATTTAAACAAGTCTGAACAATTCAAAATCGAGTTGATCCATTTTTTTTTATCCAAAGATAAGTGAAGTATCATTCAAGTAAGAAAATAGTGATTACAGTCAGTAAAAAGAAAAGCTATGAACTCCTGAGGGGGACAATTGACCCAATTCACACCGAGTGAATCCGTCATAACTGTTGATACCACCCGATGAGCAGCCCTATTTTGGGGCCTTGGCTTGTGAAGAAAACTAAGATTAAAATGAGAAGCAAAAAACTTGATGTTTGCCATTAAAGCACTAACTTCCCATGGGGGGTCATCTTCAATGGAGGACAATTTAATAACCTCCAAGTAGTCACTCTCAACACAAGCGAACTTGAATTGTGAGGCACTCGCCAATAGGCAAGCTTCACGCACTACAAAAGCTTCAGCTTGGAGGCTGGAGGATGCTACAACCTTTTTACCAATCTATCCACAATACAATCAGTGGAGTCCCTTACAACAACACCAATAGCCGACTTACCCTTTTTAAAAGCTCCATCACAGCTGATTTTTACGTCATGACGCCTTCCATTCATGGGGATCACGGGCTCAGACCTGACAGCAGGGGAAACCACTCCAGTCAGTGACACTGCATTTATTTCACCCCATAAGTTCCTTGCATTGAGAAGAGTGACAAAAACATTTGACGCCTTTTGATTAAGGATCGCCTGATTCCACCCTTTCCAAATCAGCCAGGCAAGAGTTGCAATATGCCCCATAACCTCCAAAGAGCGAGAAACATCCTTAATAACCTCCAAAACCGCAGAGATCCATTACAAAGCGGAAGAGAAAGAATTTTTAGCAAAGCGAAAACCAAAATCTGAGCCAAACCATACCTTTTGTGTCCAAGCACAACCAAAAAGAGCATGTTCAGTGGTTTCAATACAATCTGTACAAATCTGGCACCAAGGGGAACTGACATAATTTCTTCAGAACAGGTTTTCACGGTAGGCCAAAACATTGCTACACACTTTCCACCAAAAATGCCGAATTTTAGGGAGAGTTTTCATTTGCCAAATAACATGCCATAACCTCGGATAGGGAGAGAAGGGGGGCCCAGGTTTCGAAACACATGGAAAATTGAGACCAATAGCCAAAGAGGAAACTGATTTAACAGTGTAAACACCTCTAGGACATGGTTGCCAAATCCTTTTATCCTCCCCAATAGTCATCAAGAGTGTGATGGACATGATAACATTACATTCCTCCACATTAAAATGAACATTTAGGAGTTCTGTGTCCAACATTTGAGAAGGACGGGCTATGAGATCGCTAACAAGACGGAGATTGCACGAGTGGGGTCTTGGGGAGGAAATGACACCCTTAGGTAACGATGGTACCCACTTGTCCTCCCAAATTCTAATCTCATTCCCCTTCATCACCTACCACAACAACCCATTTTCAAGCAAGACACGTCCCTGCAAAAGGCTTCGCCAG